TTTTTTTCACCCACAGTCCTTGCAACATAGTGAAACCAACATGCTGTATGATTGTAATTGCTGTCTAACTGCAACTTTTCTGACAGAGTGGGACCTGCACAAAAATTAGTTCCAGTCAGCGTAAATTGTTGCGTATGTCGTGATATGTGTAAGCCTGACCATCACATCAAAGTAACAGCAAGCCATCAGTCAGCACTTAAAATGTCGAAATTAACTCGGTTGAGACAAGAATCTAGCCTGACATAATCATTAATTGGACACACACCATTTCCACCTTCCCTGTATTTCAAATACTTGCTCTCATCGTGTCGTTGACTATATTACGCAGTTTTTTATTGAATGTGATACGTTTCATAAAAGCAACAAAGTGGTTAATGAAGCAGGATTTAATGAATTTAACAAATTTTGAGAGAACTCTTCGTCAGCTGAATACTTCTGTACATACGTGAATATAAACACAGACAATTGGAAATACACTGAGGGATTTAAGATTTATAAAGCAAATAAACTACGCTGAATTAATCATTCAAAACAACACGTGTGTCAATGTTTCTTCACGTCATGTTCAGATAGATAAGGGAGAGGGAGTGTGATAGATTCAAAATAAAGGTGAAATACATTACGCTTCAACTACATCAATTAGATAAACAATTAGTGGCAAGATTAAACTTCAAGCACCATTAACTACCAATCAGCGAATAACCTCGAACTCACTAATCACAACATGAAGGAGGCATTCTTGGTTAGGTAAAGCATATATTTGTGAACAAAACTGCACAAATATGTTTCATATGATACCTTTCTGTGGCATGTGGCAAAAACACCTCCCAAGTGACCATACGAGTGTCAGTCAATTGGAAAGTTACACCATATTCTATACACATGTTCATCTAAATGGCTATGTATGAATGACATCCTTTTCAGGTCGATTAATGGGCCTAATCCTGTCTTCGGACCTTCCCCAAAATAAGCCTTCTATAGAACTAACTGATGTATTCCTCTATAACGGGATCCATAAAATCATCAGAATTGTTCACTCTGTGGTGAATATATCCAAGGTACGACAAACAGTCATAACTTCTCCTCCTCCTAATAACCAAGTGATTCTCTCCAATTCCCATAACGCAATATCACTGCAGTGCTGGTGCCACTCAACTCTTCATAGGAAACTATTTTCCCTGTTCTGTCAGCTACACCTGTCACAAGCTGTTTCAAAACTCACTAACTACACGCATATACAAAATCTTGATTAAGGACAAGTGGGACCTGGCCAAAAATCTTCCTACGAGACATTACAATCATCAGCTTACCTTCCCTGACATTTGACTCGAATCAAGCGGAAAAGAATCTTCAACTCATGTGAACGAATTCAGAGTATTTGGACCAATTAAGATACACAAACCGTATACATCCTAATCAATGTAAATAGAATAGTCCAAGATCTGAGGATGACGATATCAAGGACACCTTTATTCCGCCGAATAGTCTCTTCTTCCCTTCGATGATCAGTTTCTGTAATGATAATGTCCCGGCCGACAACTACTACCTTGCCGTGGTGGTCGCGCTTGAATACCACGGTGACCCATCAAGTTAAACTGGTTGGGACTCATGTCTCTGCAGCTCCTACCATGTCAGGAAGGTCCTCTGGATAGCGATTAGACTAAAAGCAGTGACCATGAGCCCCAGAATCCAGTGGGATCATATGGCGTATGAACCCACATAGGTCACAGGCAACCATGGGAATGCAGCTCCTGATGCAGCCCCGCTACCTTGCGGACTAGACCCCAAGTCAAAGGCTAGAGGGGTGGTCCCTTAAGAAAACCACCTGCTTCGGTCTGGGCGCCCGGGCAGTATCTCAGCCCTCACACAATAAATGAAATAAAACAACAGACTGTCATTGAAACTCATCGCGCACTTGTAACCATGATTTCAAGTAATAATGATGCCTCGAGTAACCAGTCTCTTTTCAACCTTACTTTTATTTTTATATGTAGATTCCTGTATTTTACCTTTGCTAACCTTGACTTCTTCACCTTCGACAGCCTTTCGCCTTTGTCTGGATTCCCAGCCTATCTGTGTCATTTCGAGATTATCAAGGTAGGACAACGCACACACACACACATATCGCCAAATACCTGGATCCAAAACTACGTATATTCACACTAACAGACAAGTCTTTGAAGTATCCCTGTGATCACTACTAGAATCCATGACTTTAAAGCCTTTCACTTTACAATAGTTTTCTCAGCATACAAATTATTGTATTAATGTGTAGACCTAATTTTCTACATGTCTATTTCTATTTCTCTCAGCACATTTATTGATTTGTGACCTAATTTTCTCTCACCCTACTTATGACCTTTGAAATCCTATTGGTTATTCACTGGCTTAAACTACCAGTGACATTAGTGTCTCTCAAGGTCATTTTAGATGACTGTATATATGCGCAGCCTTTGCCATTTTTTTCATTGTTGCTGCTACCGACGTGTGATTAGGACAGATTAGCCAGTGCATTAAGTTAGTTAGTGTTCGTCCATAGTCTACTAGGTCGTGGTTCCAGAGTCATAACATGTAGTAATCAGTACTGGGAAACGTCATGAACAACACTGGGTAGTGATAGCGCATAAGATGGAATTTATGAGGCTGATCTTTAGTATACCATTTTAAAGAACTCCTCTCATGGACTTAAAACTTCTGTTTCTATTTCCCCGTGAGTGAGATCATAAGTGGATACACTCCTGAAGAATTGTCTGAGACTGGGACAAAATGGCACAACCTTCCCTTTTCTAACGGGGCTCGCTGTGTAGCAATATGTAGATATATAACGATAGGAAGAAGCCAGACATCGACTGGACATTTTATGGAATCAATCTCTACAGACAGAGGTAGTGTTTATTTCATTAAATCTGGATTTAGTTTACATTGTGGATATGAAATAACCTCATTGGGCAGTTTGTTTAATCTTGAGTCAATTGCCAACCAATCAGAACAATTTATTCTCTTTGGACCTAACCAAACTTTAACGTGGTTTTTTTCTTGTCGAAGAAGTGAGGTTAGGCTGAGTACGTCAACCGGTTGTTGGGGATGGGGACATAGAACCCCAACCCCCCCCATTATATCCCTACAAATAAACACTTATGTAGTACGCACCCACCAGGGTTGAGGAGACCCAAACTGGGATGACAAAACAGCTGTCCAGCACTCCAAGCAGGTTTTCCAATAACTCCCTAACCGATGTCAATTCATGATGAAATCCTGTAACCAATCAATCAAATCCCTACAAACTAATATCAGAAAAACAACAAATCTCATCCATCCTAGCATGCACAAGTACACACAACACATTACACTGCAAAAATACGCATCAAAGCAAAATTGTAAGAAGGAGAATTCATTTTCTTTCGTTTGATTTTTTTCTCGTTTCTCACATAAAAAAAGAGAATTACACAGAGCGCATATTGTAAAACATTAGCAATTATAGTAATCATAATATAATAATAATAGTAGTAGTAGTAATAATAATAATAATAATAAGAAGAAGAAGAACAAGGGAATGACAATCACCAATCAGTTCAGGGGTGTGAATAATACATATATATATATATATATATATATATATATATATATATATATTGTGTTTGTATGTATACATAATTCACTTGAATACATGCAGGCACGCACGCACGTACGAACCCATCCACGCATACCATATATGGGAAAGATTGGTGCGTACCTTTCTGTAGCCATCCAACCACCCACCAACCCACACACTAGACATAGATAAATTTGATTGGTAGATAGATATCAGACGCACGCGCGCGCGCAGGCACACACACGTACCCGTAGGATAGTCTTTACAATTGGATAAAATGACATACATAGATTGGCATATATAACAATAATAGTAATAATAATAACGATAATAGTAATAAGAATGAGAACGCTATTCACAATATGGTCATCAAGATACACACACTGACACAAACACACATAAATACACGAATCACATCTTCATAATATATTAACTGTCATCATCAAAATGATAATCAATATGCGAGGGAGACAAAAAGTAAGAGTGGTAAGCAGAAAGAGAGATTGAAATAAATAAAGACGCGCAAAGGAAAAAACTCTCACTCACTTACTAGCTCGCTCAACCACCCACCCAGCCATCTCCTGATCCTGATAACAAAGAGCAATAAATATTAGGATATTGGTACCCAGGTTTCTGAGAACACGTAATTTCCCTATTATCATTATTATTATTCAATCGAGTGGAAAGGAAAATGTGAGACACAGGGGAAAAAAGAAGAGCACCGAAACTTATGGAAGCACTTGGTTTTTTTGCTCATGTTAGGGAAAATTAAAAAAACAAGAGGGATGGACAAGCTTCGTCATTATTAGTTCGTTCATCCCCTCCCCCACACTATGAAAAACAACCACCCACCCACCCATCCAGCTAACCAGCTCCGGCAATTGTGTGTAAAACATGCCCTCCAAACGATAGTAAGTAGTGGAAAGTGAGGGGATGGTAGGTACGCGTTGAAGACAAAAGGAAGAAGTAGAGAAGTGATGGTTCAGACTAAAAGGCAGAAAATTGACTTATTATTATTGTGCAAGCAAAGCAGGAATATTTATTCATTTCCGGAATAAGGGAGACAGGGCACACACGTACGTACCTACACACGCACATGTTTACTAAAAACCAAATTGATAAATACACATACATAAATAAATGACTAAGATAAGATTGAGATCAGATTGAGACGAAGTCAAGAGTAGAGTCCCAGTTACTACGTGTATACATAAAAAAAGGCAGAGAAAAGACAGCATGGTAGGGGTGAAGCAGGAGAGAGAGAGAGAACACGGATTGTCAGTGTGTTGTATACTGTGCAGAGATACAGATAAAGGCCCAAAACAAGTGTACAACAGATTCCGAATTCGGCTGGCTAAATACATAAATACTCCACACTCATTTCTTTCTTCCTCTTTTTTTAATTTCTGTATTCACATTCAGAAGAGACAATGTAAGTGGTATAATATGTAAGAGGAATTTTGTTTGTTTGTCTGTGTGCGTGCTGTTATTTGATTGATTGATTGATTGAGTGTGTGTATATACATGCAGCCCTTGCAACACTGAGATACACCCCCAAAGCTAAAGAAATATTTTGTATAATAATGAACACGTATTTATGTGTGTGTGAATGTATGTCTCATATAAATTTTTAAAAAAAACACAAATAGTGAGTAACAGTATAGATAGCAGAAGTGGAGAGAGAGATCAATAATGCCCGACACTCCTTCCCGCCGCCATCCCTATAACAACAATCAAAAAAATTACAATAACAATGAGGCATAAGTTGTTGGGTAGGTAGGTACGATCTTTTCTTTGAACGCAACTCTAAAGGATCTCACACCAACCGCTGAACGCGGATACTGATTCTTCTTCTCAAAGTATGATTAAAAAGCATGGAGGAAAGGGGAGAGGGTCCAGATCACATAACACACACACACAACAGGTGGATACCGGAGAGACGAACAAAGGGGGGGAGAGGGGATGCAGCGGAAAAGCGAAAAGTAAATAAATAACGATTGTGTGTCTATGTGCACGTGTGTATGTATGCGTGTGTTTGGGTGTGTGGTGGCAGTTGTATTCTATTCTCTCAATTTGTCACCCTGAAATGAAACACTAAAGCAAAACACAAAAAATTACAAAAAAACAAACTGTTTATCAATCAATCATTGCGTGTATTGATGATTAGATATTGTAGAGAGCAGATTACGCAAGAAAGGAAAAAATATATTGGAGGAAAACAAACCACAGTTAAGCGCGCGAGAGAGATAGAAAAAAGGAGGACATATGGGTGAGACCAATGACACTCAAACTAATGATCATAATCATTGTAATTGTAAGACAGAGGGCGATATATATTGTGCACATCGCTGTTGATGATGATTTCTTCAAAAATCCTAGGGAAACTGACAAAGAGACACAGAGAGAGAGAGAAGAGAGAGACAAGGGGAAAAATGGTAGTTCCCCCCCACTCCCGCCCGTTTGAATTTCACAACTTTGTATTAACATTTTGACAAATCAATATCAAGAAAGTCTTATTTTTTTATAGCAAGTAGGTATGTCTACGTCTATAAATGAATTAATTAATTAGGAGGGTGTGTGTAAATATATCCATCGGAATGGGGTAGGCGGGATGATGCTGATGTGCCAAAGTGGAAGAAGAAGTGTAGAAGAGAAGGATTTTTGTGTTCCTATGACCATCATCCTACACCATCCACCACCACAGCCACCACGACCAATCGATCACTTGCGCAATGCATTCTCATTTTCTTTTTAAATAAATAACACAAAAAGGGAACTTTGAAAGACTCAACAGCCAAAAAAAAATTGAACAGAGACACAGAGAGGGAGATCATCAAATGGAACAACAGACGACGTGGTAAGTGAAATGAACACCCATACAGACAACAAATACACGAGGGAGGGAAAGAAAAAGATTACAGGTTATCTACGTAATATATATAATACAGTAACATTTGAAATAATGGAGGGTGTTACAGGAACAGTACAGTAGGTATCGTACGTAGTGATAATAAGTATACGAATAATTTCTGAGCAGAGAAAGATAAAATATTGAAATAGATCCTGAGATTTTTTTATTGTCTTCACTGTATCATATTTTATTTTGTGTACACAGAAACACATACAAACACACAGAGGGGGTGCGACAGAAAACACACATGCATGCATGCACCACATATATATTGATTGAGATGTTTCTTTTTCGATCGATGATTCCACGTCGTCATCGTCTTCTTCCTATTTTTGATTATTGATTTCTCGAGGGGCGAGGGTGCGATGGGATGGGGCGGGGCGGGGTTAAATGCCAAACACGTCACACACAAAAAAATGGATGTGATGCGTTGAATGCGCACACACGCGCGTACACACACCTACAGATATCTGCACATACAGACAGAAAAACGGTGGATAGGAGAAGTACACAGTGGAGGAGATTGAGTGAAAGAGGCAAAGGCTGAGGCAGAAAGATAGAGAAAGTGGAAAAGAATGACACAGAGGCAGAGTTGCATAAACAATAACCAGAAAAGACAATGGGAATTTTCATTTATATAAACTGAGATCGAAGTCGTCGACCTTTTGAACGCCGACCAAGACAACCACAACAACTGAAATGTAAGAAGAGAAGAAAGTAAAAAAATATACACCATTAGTTGAACCACAGTTTATATATATATATATATATAAATCGTTGATGTATGTGTAAAACTTGGGCTCATTGTGGTAGTAAGTAATTCCATATTAGTTTGTTTATTAGATGTATCACACAGTGAAACAGTATTATTTACTGGATGACACGGCTTCGAACACAATTTATTATTGTTCATGGTCATATCAATTGTAAACACACAACTTCAAAACTTCAGTTTTATAGTTCTCCTCGTTCTCTCCTATTTGTCTTCGTAGTGGTAGTAGAATTTTCCAGATCTCCAAATGGACAGGTGTTGAATCATACCGATTACACGTATTCCCTGTCAGTTGATTCGACAAACAAAGCTTCTGTTATGAATCTCTCCCTCTATTCACCCTGTGACATTAGATTTTAAAACTGTCATTTTATCCCATTCCAGCCTATTGTATGGCTGTTTGTAATTTCATGTAATGATATGGTTGAACTATTCTCAAGATTTTTTATCTTATTTGGGTCAACCAATCTAGATTTTGCTAATTTTTTATGCCCGGCTACTCTGACTGACTGAGCCACAGGATCCTTTAACCGACAAAGCTTGTTTCTAATTGAGTTTGTGGGGGGTTTGAATGCCAGCCACTTTTATTCCTGCCTTGTTAAGAATTCTGTGTAAGGTTTCCGAGGTTCCTTCCTTGTATGGAATTACTACTGATGATTTAGACTCCTTATTGGTGATATCGTCATTGATATTATTATTATCACTACGGTTGAGTTGCTATGCTTTTTTGTCCGAGCCTAAAGTCTTTCATAACTGCTTTTGTCATCCTAATTGAGAGACTGGTATATAGAGAGAGAGGATGTTCAGAAAGTTTGGACAAGATAATATATTCAACGATTTCTCGCATGACTTCATTCATCTGTCTGGAACTCTTCATTAGTACTCAACTCACACTACCAAGTCACCCTCATCGGGAAGTTAAACGGGGGACCTTCAGGTTAACAAGGTGAACCCATAAACCATTCAGCCAGCCACTGGGAAGGAATCAAATAATCAGTCCATTGAAAACATTTATTTCCCGATACGAATTTAAAACAAGCAATAAAGGTTAATAAAGCAGGATGACTTAATAAATTCATCAAATTTCGGTCAGCCACTGAATACTCTACATACACGGATATATATATACATATATATTCTTTTGAAATGACATTGGGAGATATAGGAATGATATGCGAATAAACTACATTGAATTAGTCGTGCAGAAAGACAGGTGAGAATGTTTTTCAGGTCATGTTCAAAATGGATAAGGGGAGAGAGAGTAAGAGAGGTCAAATTAAAATAAATAGTACTATTCAGCATGAAATAAAATCTCTGAATGATATTTTATCTAAAACTGAATATCCTGAGAAATTCATTAATAAATAGTCTAAAGACATTGGCCCCTACAAAACAATTCAAACAGTTCCGAAGAAACCTGTCTGCATCAGTTTGCCGTTCAAAGGAGATCATGTACAGGAAGTAGTCGAACGAAGACTCGATAAAGCCATCAAGAGAACTTGTTATCCTTAACACCACCACTGAGTGAGTGCTTCAACAATCTGCGAAAGACCAGTCGCCAATCCTCGACACTTCAAACTGCGTGTATCAATTTGAGTGTGTTTGTGGAAGCAAACACATAGGTTGTACATACAGAAAGGCGATTGTCTACTCGCATGATGGAGCATTTGCCAAAATGGCCGGTTGAAAACAGCTGAGTGCAAAGTGCCAAAATCCTCAATAACTACAAAACATCTTGTGGATTACGGACACGATATCCAGGCTGTCAAGTCATTCACTGTTATTGTCAGCAGACAAAGAAACAAGAAGATGCGCTTGCAATTGCAGAGGCTTGAGCTATTCGAGTTTATAAACCAGGTTAACACTATTATTATTGTTATTATAACCATTACTATTGATATTACTCTGTTTGCACAAATTCGTCCCGTACTCAGTCAACTGCCACAATGAACATAAGACCAACTGGCACATGAAAACTGACATTATTATTATTATTATTGCATATAATCACTTGGAAAGTGAAAACAGTTTGAATTCAAATAATAAGAGACTTGTGATGTACACACACATACACGCATACACAGTGAATCATTATGAATGCCTAACCCACCCACGTATATACTTTCCAATGGCGAACAAATCAGACTCGATATTCTGTCACATCTCTATGGTCTAATACATTAAATTTGCAGCTATTTGACTGGCTCTACAGGGTTCCATCAGGAGCCGACATCGGTTAAAGGACCATTGAGAAACCAAGAAGGAGTACTGGATGGCAGTTTCGTCCCGGTTTGGGACTCTTCAGTGGTACGGACCCACCATTGCCTACACGTGGCACAGATGAGGATGTGAAAACCAGAATTGGAAAGTCGAGACAAACCTTCAAATCTTTTGCGCTCAGGAAAAACAATAGAAAAATTCAAATTTCCAATACCATTGTCAAGTAAGTAGGCAGGTTTTTCTTGGCGTATCACGAAAAGCATTTTCCAAAAGGCTATTGAAAACTTTTACCAACAACACATGATTCGCTGACTCTATATACTGAAGACTACATAAATGCGGTCGGAACTCTGAGAACGAAGCAATCAAGAATCTGTTGCTCAAAAAATATATGTAGAAGAAAATGGAGATCGAGTGGACGACACGCGCTGAGGATACCGATGGATAAAGTCGTGAGGCAGGTCCTAGAGGGGAACTCGACTGTATAAGGACGAGTTATGTGAAAAAAATGTGAGGGTGGAATGAAGGGGATCGTGTGAGGAAGAGATGAAAGTGTATAGGGCGGCAATCATTGGGCCAGGGGCCAAAGGTGACTGCAGAGAATAGGACATACTAAGGACATGTGCTGGTGGAGCCCCACCCCATATTCTATTTGGACACCAAAGGAATAATAATGATGACATAATGCCAGTCATGTGCGTCGATGGCTTACTGGCCCAGATCAGTGTACTCCCTTTACCTCGTCAACCCGATAATAAACGTGGTGAAGAGGGAAGGATGGATGGGTTAACAACGCTATCCCGTAAAAAACACCACTTCTACTGAAACTTTGAAGTACTAGTCTGAAGCCATACAACATTCCATTAGGAACTGAAATGAATAAAAAAGAAAATATTGCTAATGGCATCGTTGGTGCATTAGTTAGTAGAATACTTGCCAAACCACCGCCTCACGTGGTCCTGGATTTGATCTTCGGTCAATGCATTCCTAAATCATGCTTAAGCGGTAAAGAATGGGAGGAAAGGAATGAAATGTGGGCGGCTACGAGCAACCTTTCACCTCATAGAAAAGATCAAAATCACATGCACTACTGACACATCAAAAACTTGAAGCCCAATGTGGGAAAAGCAGTAAGCACTTACCCTGACTGACTCTGAATGTCATCCTGTTCACCACCACCAGTAGCAGCATTCTCTGGTGTTGTCTCTGTTGTCATCCCACCAATTCCCATGCCCATATTATCCATATCTCTAGCCATACTTTCATCTGGACCACTATACAATCCAGTTGCATTACGGAAGTGCATTCCACCACCGGTATTTGTACCATACGGTAGACCAGTAGAATTTGAAACAGGTATAGCACCAGCCGGTCCAATATCCTCTAGTACACCGACACCATCATTTGGTGAAGTGATTTTATTAGCACCGAGTAGACCACTGTGCATAACAGTTTGATTACCAGGCTGCTATGTATACATGTATATGAAAATTACACGAAAGAAATATATATATAGTTTACTCTAGAGAAAATTGAGTTGTTTTTTTGTTTATTCACCAACACACACACACACACACACACAAATGTGCATATCAGTGGCGGTTCAGCGATAATATAATGCCCACGCCAACCACGGGTCACATGGTCCAAGGGATCCAACTCCCAAGGCTGTGATGCACTAATCCATACTCAACCTCGCTTAGCCGAGATAGTAGTAGTTTTGTTTCTCTCTTCCTTACAAACTCTACTTAAAACATTCTTCTTCGTTCTTTCACACTCTGTATACCTCGACCATTTTGCTATCGCTTATGTCAGTAAATATGCTAGTAGTATCTACTTTTCTAACACCTTCAAACACTGTTTAAATTTTGGCTTTGCTACTGACATGCTAATATGTTGTTGTCAAAACTGACTGAGATAACTTTAATCTATGTAGAACTTTATTTATTGTTAACGTACTAACTGGATGCAATACTGTATGTAGTGAAATGCTGAGAATTCCATTCTGTGTCACAAGTACTGATTTGGAATAAAGCTATTATCTTATCTTAGTAGTAGTAGTAGTAGTAGTGCAACGACAGAAGGCATGAGTCAGGCAACAGATAGTTCATTGAGGAAATCAACACATATTTATAGATTTTCATGTACATATTATAGATTATTGTTAGCAGAAAAACACAGTCTTCTGATTGATTGTTTCTCACTGAAAGCTAATCTTTCATCTCTTTGTGGCTGTTTCTTCAATGTCAGATCATCTATATGTTAACTGTATCCCGCCTACGCATAGCCTTTGTTGTTATTTTTTTTCACAACCAATATTGGGGACGTAAACATTGACATTAATTACTGTCTACCAATTCGGCTAGCAGCCAGCCCTCACCACACTCTTTCCTCCGTCAAAGACTTCCGAATGAAGTTGGTTCGGTCTTCTTGGTTCTAGGGGTATTGTTCATTTGTCTTACTGTCTGAAATCTCGGCGCTCGCTGGTGTTCACCTGTTTCACTCTGTTTCCCATTGCGATTGTGTCTGCGTAACCTCATCTCAACGTGACCATATATAGTCCTTCCCACTTTGGAAACTGTTTGTCTGACCCTGCCCCATCACATTCATCGGTATTTCGCCTTACACTTTCATATACTACTTTCTCCCGACCTCCCAGCAGCGTCCCAGGTAACAGTCTCATTGCTGACAGATCTAGAACGCCATTCGACTGCGCAGAAGCCTCGAAGTCCTGTCTGAAGATCCATATATCTTTATCAAAAACCGCAAGGCATAGGCTTTCCATTTGTCGGTAGGCAGCGAGACCAAATGTAACAACAGAAGACAAGGGCCAGGAAACAGATCGTTCATTTACGAAATCAACACATATTTATAAATTTTTTGTACATTATTATAGATTATTGTAAGCAAACAAACACAATCTTCTGATTGGTGGTTTCTTGTTGAACGTTAATCTTTCATCTTTCTGTGGCCGTTTATTGAAGTTCAGATTATCTATCTGCAAATTGTATCCGCCTACGCAACGTCTACTGTAGTTGGTTGTTGAATCAGTCATTGTTCTCATTTTTCTCATGACCAATATTGGGGAGGTGGACACTGAGGTAAATTGTTGTCTTCCAATTTGGCTAGCAGCCAGCTCTCACCACAGTAGTAGTAGTAGTAGTAGTAGTAAGTCTGATTGGCGGCCATGAGGCTAGCTAGTGACCGACCACCCTACCTCGTAAAAGAGAATTACACCAATATTGGTAGAGAAACTTCAAAGAGCTTGAAGCCCTATGTTCGTTCCAATTAGGAGAACATAAAGGAATAGAAGAAAGTAATAAGAGATACATACACATACACGGGAGAGAGGAGAGAGACTATGAATTATATGAAAGACATAATAAATAAATAAAGACAACTAACCTGACCAAAATATGGAGGTAAATATTCATCAACTTTATAGCGTAATTCATTCGGTGAGGTACCACCACCACCACCACCACCATTCTCTTCATTTGTTGGATAACCACCGCCAGGCATGTTATTTGATTGTACACCAGTAGGCGGTTGTGGTGGTGGTGCTGGCCAATGAGATCCACCACCACCACCGCCACCAGGACCTAACAAGGGTGTACCACCAGTCAAGCCATGATCATTACTAGCACCAGGAGTTTGTTGTTGATTACCGTTCACTGTATGTTGATGATGTGTTGGTGAGGTAAGACCAGAAGCATTTTGTACACCATTATTCATACAACTTGTATTACCAGCAGCACCAGGTGGGATATTTGTTAATGGTGGATTTGTTACTTGTCCGCCTGAAGTGTGTGAAGATCCTGGAGGCTAGATGAAAAAGAGAAAAAGGAAAAAACAATAATAAGTAAGCTTAATAAGCTTTCATCAAACAACAATGGCTCCGCACTCCCCCCTCACTCTCCGTCTACCGCCCCATCGGTCACAAATCCCACATCTCAGTCAACTTTAGCCTGGGTATCATCACCTATGTTAGTTAGTAACGTGGTCGCCCCCCCCCAAAGTCTGGTACCAACGAGGTAACCAAAACAATAAAGAGAAATTCAACCCAGTCCATCTGTACACACGCACACACACACACACACCTCGAATGACAGAATACTCAATTCAACTGATAATTCTCTATTACTTACTTACTGATGACTTTTAATTCAACAGAAGTAAAATACTTCCAATCCAAGCATGAGATCGTGAATATCATCTCTGAGTACATTTTTATCATTATTATTTTACTCATAGACGTTTCGAACGAAACTTTGAAGCTTCGGTAGCAGTGGGTTCTATTTTTACGCGATGGAATCGCTCTAGCCTCAAACGCTAACTTAACCATTCCCTCTTTACCGACCTTACTGCCGGCTAAGTGAGGTCTTAGGGGTGTGTTGGTGGCCGGGGATCAAACCTCGGATCACATGGTTGGTTGGCGAGAGTTTCTACCACGAAACCAACAACGCACTTCAGTACATCAAGTAATATCAAAAATAGGAACAATTACAAGTGTATACCGGTTGATAATTATTATTATATTATTGTTCCCTTGGGTTCCTAGTAAAACATAGGGTCTCATTTCAATTCCACGTCTCCACTCGCTTCTGTGTTCTGCTGTACTTTTCACCTGCATCAATGTTAGTCCATACTCTTTCAACTCATCTTCCCACGATCTCCTCCATGTCACCCTGACACCACTCGCCGCTTCCCTTTCGGATTACACTCGAGCAATGGACTGACGCGCGAGCGATGTCACCCGGCGGCGGCCTCCTCAGCGAGTCTCCAATCTATCTCCACTTTCTCCTGCATATTTGTTGATTGGCGATTGATTCTTCCTTTGTTTGTTCCTTCACATAGTTTCTTGTTGGTGATTCTTTCCGGCCCGACCATCTGATCTTCAGCATAGAGGGAAGACAGTTGTTGGTTGACAAAGGTCTGCAACACGCTGTTGAAAATATTCTTTGTGACCCACCCGCCAAGTTTCTGATCCGTATAGAAGAGCTGACTGACTTGACGTTTGTATTGAAAATCCGACCGAATCTTGTTGTTGATGATGGCTGAGTGAAGAAGATTTCCAGATTGCTTTCAGTTGGTTGATGAATGTGTTTCTCACCTGCCTTCCTGATTCTCGCTCGATTTGACATCCTCGTCCGTTCCTCCTGTAGTTGAGACAATGCTCCCTAGATGATAAGTGAATGAAGTACACTCTTTCAAATCCCTCCCGTTGATGGTGATTGGCGATGGATGTTGTCGGTTGGTTATTTTCATAACCTCCGTCTTGTCTATGTTCACCTGGAGTCCTGTCTTCACTACCTGCTTCTTCGACCAGTTTGTCAGTTTTCGCTTGTAAGTCTTCGATTGTGTGTGACATCAAACATAAATCATCCGCGAAATTCAGGTCTTCTAGGTCCTTCACGTCGGTCGGTCCAGGATATCTCTGTCTTCTCGTTTCCCACTATCTGACGCATGATCCAGTCCACCACAATTAGGAATATCATTGGTGATAATAGGTAGGCACCCTTGTCTGACTCCTGTGTTTACTCCAAACGCCTTGCTGAGTTTTCCGTTGTGGATCACTTGACATGCGCCGTTGTCGTACAGCTGTTGAATAAGGTTGATGAATATTTGGGGTACGCCATAGTACTCGAGTAGTTTTCAAATTACTTCGCGGTCAACGCTGTCGAAGGCCTTTTCAAAGTCTATAAAGTTGAGGTAGAGGTTTGATTGCCATTCCATGCTTTGTTCTGTGATGATGATGCGTAGAGTTGCAATGTGGTCAGTACATGATTTGCTTTTCCTGAATCCACCTTGTTCTGGTCAGAGTTCTGTCTCCAGTGCGTCCTTTAATTTCTCCAGGATGATGCGACTCAGGATTTTACTTGGCGTCGACAGGAGCATGATTCTTCGCCAGTTCTTGCACAGTCCTAAGTCGCCCTTCTTTGGTAGTTTCACAAGGTAACGTTTCCTCCAGTCAGTAATATTAATAATAATTTCAGCTTCGTTTGCTTTGCACAACTTTGACTAACAGTTGACAAATACAAATTTAAGTGCTGCCATCCATAACTGACGATAATGGCGCTTGGGTTCAGAAGAGTCGAAATAAGTCTTCTGTCCCCCCCCCCAGCCTACCAGTTATACAACTATTATTGTGTGCAGGCTGAGGATTACACCACTACGCAGTTTTTGCCAAGGTTGATGTAGGCAGGCGACGAGGAGGGATATGAACCTAGGTAGGATCAGTTGGTTGATATTCGAGGGGCTTGTATGCCATTAGCGGTTCTGGGCTGCAGCATATAGCCATTGACAGATCCGGCAGTCAGTCATAAAGCCATGAGAACACTATCAAACCACCCTGTGTGACAGGAAAGGCTGCTCAGTGTGAATTCAATAATACAGAACACTATATAACAAGGATGCCCATTATCCCCTTTTCTATTCAACTTCATCATAGATGTGTTAATGAACTTAACCCTAAGTGACTTCAGCGACTCAGGGATTGACTTAATTAAATAATTTTTCCTTCACGTTCCCAGTGGAACATAGAGCTCCAAGCTAGTGGCTTGAAGTTTCTGTAACAGTGTTTAATTTTTATAGGATGGGGTTGCTAGCCTCATGCCCAACCTTTCCTCTTTACCAGCATTATTTCTGGCTCAGTGAGGTAAAGGAGTGCGCCCGCCGGGGATCGAACCCCGGACCATAGGCATGGTCCGCGAGCGTCCTAATTGCTATACCACCGACGCGCATTGACTTGCTACCGGGGAATAATCTCGTTGACTTGGAATATGCAGACGATATAGTCCTTCTAGGCGAAGACGCTGACAAAATGCAGAGTCTTCTAAACACCTTGAGCTGCAATCTACCAATGTTTGGCATGCGATTCGCTCCCGCCAAATGCAAGATGATGTTACAGGACTGGACTACATCGACGCCTAGTTTAAAAATAGGAAGTGAAGTGGTAGAGCACGTTGACCGCTTCACTTATTTCGGAAGTACCATCATCCCGTGCCAAAGGGTTGATCTCTGACGGAATCCCAGCACGAATACAAGGGGCTCGTTTCGCATCTGCCAGTTTACGCCGACTCTGGCGTAGACGAGATGTTCGACTATCGACCAAAGGGCGGGTGTACTGCTCATCAGTCCGCTCCGTCCTCCTTTATGGTTGTGAGACCTGGCCACTGAGAGTGGAAGACATGAAAAGACTAGCTGTCTTTGATCATAGGTGCCTCCGCTCTATTTCCCGTGTAAAGTGGCATAATAAGATGAGCAACATTGAGGTTAGGCGTCGAGTGCTAGGTAAACAGGGGAAATCAATCGACGAAGTCGTGAAGCTACAAAGACTGAGATGGTTAGGACATGTGTTACGTATGCCAAGCCATCGCCTCCCTCGACGAGCAATGTTAGCGGATATAGGGTCAGGCTGGAAAAAAGCTAGCGGCGGTCAAACAAAAACTTGGCCTCACCAGTCAATGAAATCCACAACAGTTGGTCTAAGCCACGTAGGAAGGTGTAGACTTCCAGGCTGGGGTCCTCGGGACGGTAAAAACCAATCGCTGGAAACAATTGGTGACATGGCTCAAAATCGTTCTCAGTGGCGCAGATGCATCCACTCCTTGTGACTTATGATCTCCAATGAAACTGTTTTGTTTTTCTTTATTACTCCTTTGTCTCACACCTCTGCTCACTGTTTCTATTACGCTTTTCTTGTACTTTCTTCTCTTGCTTCGCGTGCTACACGGAGTGTGGCGACTTGAACTTCCGCACATTTGTGCAAAGTTCTATGTCGAAAACAGACAGACAGACATATAACAAGGTCATAAGGGCTAAATATATTTATTATCCAGTTGCCCAGATTGAAGTAAATGAGCCAGGATCTCCCAATTCTTGACTCACTACTGATTGAAAACCGACTGACTGTTCAAGCCAAATGGTATGCGGATTAATAAAGATAGAAACAAAAGTACTGTTTCACTGCACATAGAGTTAGGAATAGAATGCTAATACTGAGGAGAAGTATGGTTGTAGTGCCTAATACACTCGGGTTGGTTATGTCGGCTTTACAAATCCGTATATACTTCATAGCACATTACATCACTTAACAGGGAGAGAGAGGTGAATTTGCTCTACCTTCTTGGTTAGTTTAAATATAAGTAAATATTGACTGCACGAATTGGTATGAAAACCATTGCGTTACCGGATATATATATAACTCTTAGAGAATGATGCAAACTCGACACACTCGTTTCATCAGCCGAATATTTCATATTATACTGTAGCTTTTTTCTATTACCTTTTCTGATTACACTTCCCTCATTACACGCGTTCCGAGTTAAAAAAAAAATAGGGCTTCAAGTCTTTCTTGAAGCTTCAGCAAAGGTGTGTGTTCTTTTGGGGGGAGTGGGGCAGAATAGGATCACCTAGTCTTAGGCTCATTCCACCGCCTTTTGAAAGCTAAGCGACGTTTAGGAGTGCATCGGTCAGAAAATTGAAGTTGGCCCCCCCTTTGGCGATGCACACCACCACTATCCCCCTCCCTTGGAAATATATGTGTAACACACCTGGACACTGTGGTAGTAAGCAATTCCATATTAGTTTGTTTATTATATCATCCCATCCTATGTCATTAAAAATAGGATTGATGAAATGTTTACATAACAGGGCACAAAATCTAAGCAATAACAGGAAAAATCTAAGACAGGAAGTCAGGCATATATAACAGAAGCTTTGAAACTTAACAATTACACTGATAAATTAATCAGGAAGTATGTAGGTAAATGTCAAAATAAAATATATATAATAATAGAAGTGACAGTGATAGTAATAATAATAATGATATTAATGACGCCATGTATGTCAAACATGCGTAGGATAATGACAACACTAACAACAGGGAATTTAAATCATCAGTGGTATTTCCACACAAAGAAGGAACCTCGGAAACATTAGAGAGAATTCTTAACAATGCAGGCAGGAATAAAAGTGGCTGATATACAAACGCCCTCCCACGAACTCAATTAGAAACAAGCTTTGTCGGTTAAAGGAGCAATGCTGTAGAACCTTTGAAACAAAACAATTTAGCTTATCTAATATACCCTGTCTGCAATGATTGCAGGGTCAAATATACAAGGGTAAAAGTAGTAGAACACAGTTAGCCAGACTAGCGGAGCACAAACACCTAGCAAAGTCTAGATTAGTTGGCCCTAATAAGATAAGAAATCTGGAGAACAGTTCAGCAATACCACTCACTCACTACACACAATTACACACAACCATGCAACAGGATGTTTCAAGATGGCAGTTTGAATATATAATATAACAGAGTGGAGGGAGAGATTCATAACAGAAGCTTTGTTTATCGAGTCAACTGACAGGAACCACGTGTAATAGGAATGACTCAACAACTGTCCACCCAGATATCTGGAAAACTCTACTACCACGCCTACGACGACAAATAGGAGAGAACAAAGAAAACTACAAAACTCAAGTTGTGAAGTCGTGTGATTATGATTGATGCGATTATAAACAGTAATAAATCGTGTTCGAAACTTTATCACCCAATGAATAACAATACTGTTTCAGTCAGTGACTGTGTGATATATCTAATAAACCGAGTCCTGGGTCACTAACTGGTTGCATTCCTACTTTTCAAACAGAACGCAGTACACCGTATACAAAGGCGAATCCTCCTCTGCTGTGCTCACTGAAGCTGGTGTCCTTCAAGGGGCTGTACTCTCCCCACTTCTCTTTTCATTCTTCCTACATGACCTACCATCTTCAAATGACATTAACTTTGTCAAATATGCTGATGACCTAACTGTATCTTTACCTGTCAAATGTCAAAGTGACTGCTCTAAACTAAATGGCTTCTTATCAGAAATCAGTCAATGGTCCAAGGAAAACGGTCTCACCTTAAACCCCTCCAAATGCCAAACAGTCAATTTCATCTTTAGGCACAAATCTGACCTAAACAAACTGGTTAGCACTCACGAGATGTGCAACATAGACGGCATTGAAATTGAAACCAAGTCGGAAGTTAAATACCTAGGCGTCATTCTATCTTCTGATCTTTCCTGGTCGTCTCATATCTTGACGATTTCCAAGAAAATATTCCGTCTTACCTTCTACATCAAGAAGCTAAGACATTCTGGTGTAACCCAACCCTTACTTCTACAATTCGTTAACTCCCGTATTCTGCCTATTATTCTCCCCCCTTAGTCTTTCCTGGGCTATTGAAGAAAGACTATGCCCTATTACGCAGGATGTTAAAGGTTGTCAGCAGGGTAAGCAGTTTGCCACTTAACCAGCTTGTTAATATTCTGGTGGACAGGCACATGAACTCATGTGAAAAATGGGCAAAAACCATTTTATCTGACTCACAACACCCTCTTCATTCACAACTCTCCCCATGTATCTTTTCAGGGAAAACCAGAAGCCTATATAGGAAACTATATGTCCGCACTAGCAAGTACAAAAACTCATCCATACCCTACCTAGCTCGTGTTCTGTGCGATAAAGAAAGCATTAGGCGTGAAACCTTTAACTTATTAAATAGTCAGTAGAACAAATGGATCTCGTCTTTCCAAGTCACATCATTTGCAGGTACAACGTTTTCTCTCTACCTTTTTTTGTTATGTGTTGTTTTGTTTCTCTCTTCCTTACAAACTCTACTTAAAACATTCTTCTTCGTTCTTTCACATTCTGTATATCTCGACCATTTTGCTATCGCTTATGCCAGTAAAAATGCTAGTAGTATCTACTTTTCTAACACCTTCACAAACACTGTTTAAATTTTAGCTTTGCTACCGACATGCTAATATGTTGTTGTCAAAACTGACTGAGATAACTTTAATCTATGTAGAACTTTATTTATTGTTAATGTACTAACTGGATGCAATATTGTAGTAAAATGCTGAGAATTCCATTCTGTATCACAAGTACTGATTTGGAATAAAGCTATTATCTTACCTATCTATCTAAAAAAATGATATGGAATTACCACCCCCGCCATAGCCAAAGAATTATATATGCAGTTGTGGTTAATTGAGGTTAATTTAATAAGTGACGAGGCGTTTTTATGAACTACTGAAAATCACTATGCATAAGTATAGAGTGTGTGTGTGAGAGAGAGGGAGAGAGACAGCTGTATCTCTTCAAACTATCTAGTTGAAAGCGAATGTGTCACATTATCGCGCCTTCATTATCCAGTACAATCACTTTTAATGGAGGATACACACACACATATATCGCTTCATTCACTTCAACAGAGTATCCCACTAATCATATGGAGCTGTGACTCTTCGGTCTAGACGTTTAACTTCCAATCACTGAATCACCATTTTAAACCAAGCTTCATCCACTGAGGTTTAAGCCGACAGACAGCATCAATAACCCTCATGCAACGAGTGTGGTCCATTGCCAACTGCACGAAGACGCAATTGGTTGCTGAGTAATATTTCTTCTTTTTTCCACTACTCATCGGTATAAATTACCCCATCCGTACACTGTGTCTTAATATTTTTTTTTGATTACAGCTTGATTACACACTGTATATTTGGTACAAGTATGGAATTTTCAGCATCGATATCGGTAGCCCAAATTCGCAGGCCGACCATAGATATCAGGTGTGCGTCGGCAATGGATCGAACCTCGGACCATGTGCATTGTCGGCGAGAGCCCTAACCACTGTGCCACCAACGCACATATACACTGATCTAACTGGTGTTGTCAGCTTGTGAGTAAACATGAAACAAATTAACGCTTAAAATTTAGTCTAACGATCCCTAGTCACCGCCTACAGGAGTTCTACTGAGAAGTTATAACCAGTGGGATCCATCCCGGTCGACAGTGAGCACAAATACTCGCATACAATTATTGGCTGGTGTCAGTGGCGCTAAAATCAAGAATTGGTAGTTGCTGGAATACATGGGTCACTACTGGATCGGGTCCCAGTGGTTGAATGACCCAAAGAGCTCGCTAGCCTTGTAAACGAAAGGTTTTGGATTCGAAGCCTAGCGGTGGGTGCGTACTGATGAAGGAACAACAGCTGACTGTCCAGTAGTTGTCTTCCCTCCTAATTTTCCACGCTTGTCCTTTACCAAACCTCAGCTCATAAATAAAACTTCAAAATAAAACATTCATTACAACACCAAAGCAGATACTTGTGTTTGCAAAAGTATGTCATGACACAATATATATTCTATTTTACCTTAGCACCAGGTAATGGTCGACTGCACCAATCGAATTCCCAATCACATTCCCAACCTTTCCGTTGCATTAGATCTGTAAATCCCCAACGTAGATACTCATAATTGGGTTCTTCAAAGAAATCTAAACTCCGGACATATCTTAAATACGTAGCCATCTCTAAAAAAACACGAAGCGGAGGAGAATAAACAATAAACAGAAATTAAGAGGTTAGCAGATTGTCACAATAGAAATTGTGTAGATATGAAGCATTAAAATAACAAAAACCTTTACATACTACTACTACTAATATTACATGACGTTTAAATGCCATCTGTGGAGGAATTACAAAATTGTGAACGCCGTATATAGAACCGATCAATAACACCACCATAGGAACAGAGCATCTATACTGTAAGAGACTGAAGAAAATGACCAAGTACTAATTATGTTTTCCACCCCATCGCTCCATAGTGACCAACTATAGGATGTACTTCGTGGAAGTGTACTGTGAAGCCCGAACTGTGAAATGTTGGTATTAGATGGTTGGAGGCAATCGATAGGAACCCTTGGACCTAGGTTTCATGCTAGTTGGCACTCATCGACAAGGCGTATCTGCAACAGCGAAAGAACTTATGTCCCTTCTGAGATTCGAACCAGCGTCACCCAGTGCTGCAGTCAGAAATGTTACCACTGAGCTATTCAGGCTCGCGATTTACCTCCTGTAGGACTGTATTAGACATTTTTGATTGCACACTAGTCAGTAACTAGTGTAATGTGTCTAGTCCTATCTTCGGTTCAGACTGAATTCTGTCAATCAAGCTTCGCTGTTGCAGACACGCCTTGCTGATGAGTGCCAACTAGAACAAAACCTAAGTCCAAGGCTTCCTGTCGATTGCCTCTAACCATCTAATACCAACAGTTCACAGTGCACCGCGTAATGGCGAGCCACCTAGCATGGTAGCCACAGTGCAAGCTTGACTGATAGAATTCAGTCTGCACCGAAGATAGGACTAGACACACATTATATTGGTTACTGACTAGTGTGCAATCAAAAAAGAAGCCCAAACTGGCAGAGTACAAAAGGTCCAGTGTTAGGATGGACACTCAATGATGATGCTGGCTGGCTGACTGGCTAGTAGTTGCACAATATATCGTGAATCGACAGGACTTGAAATTCGGTTCCACATGGCTGAATACTAATGTTTCTTACCTCACAAAGGAAGGTCTTATACAACTTCGATTCCTGGGGGTGGGAACATAGGTGCACAAGACGAAGCACCTGTTTATTCCTGCCTTTCCTGGTTTTCATAGATACCTTAAATGAAGTCATTCCGTGATGAAATCTATCTTAGCCAGTCAAAATAAGATCATACATACGTAAGGTTGAACAAACAAAGGCTTTTAATGAGGATAGAACCTCACCCAGTTTTCCAGCCAAGCCGAAGCCTAAGAAGTAAACGAGAGGGTTGGCGACAAACCAACTCAACAAATATATAGAATTTTCAAGTATTGGTTTTGTAAAGATTTTGTTTGATTGCATGGAGGATTTAATCATGAGCTGACATCAGTTAGAGAACCACTGGAAAACCTGGGAGTACTGGACAGCTGTTTCGACGCCTAGTTTAAAAATAGGAAGTGAAGTGGTAGAGCACGTTGACCGCTTCACTTATTTCGGAAGTACCATCATCCCGTGCCAAAGGGTTGATCTCTGACGGAATCCCAGCACGAATACAAGAGGCTCGTTTCGCATTTGCCAGTTTACGCCGACTCTGGCGTAGACGAGATGTTCGACTATCGACCAAAGGGCGGGTGTACTGCTCATCAGTCCGCTCCGTCCTCCTTTATGGTTGTGAGACCTGGCCACTGAGAGTGGAAGACATGAAAAGACTAGCTGTCTTTGATCATAGGTGCCTCCGCTCTATTTCCCGTGTAAAGTGGCATAATAAGATGAGCAACATTGAGGTTAGGCGTCGAGTGCTAGGTAAACAGGGGAAATCAATCGACGAAGTCGTGAAGCTACGAAGACTGAGATGGTTAGGACATGTGTTACGTATGCCAAGCCATCGCCTCCCTCGACGAGCAATGTTAGCGGATATAGGGTCAGGCTGGAAAAAAGCTAGCGGCGGTCAAACAAAAACTTGGCCTCACCAGTCAATGAAATCCACAACAGTTGGTCTAAGCCACGTAGGAAGGTGTAGACTTCCAGGCTGGGGTCCTCGGGACGGTAAAAACCAATCGCTGGAAACAATTGGTGACATGGCTCAAAATCGTTCTCAGTGGCGCAGATGCATCCACTCCTTGTGACTTATGATCTCCAATGAAACTGTTTTGTTTTTCTTTATTACTCCTTTGTCTCACACCTCTGCTCACTGTTTCTATTACGCTTTTCTTGTACTTTCTTCTCTTGCTTCGCGTGCTACACGGAGTGTGGCGACTTGAACTTCCGCACATTTGTGCAAAGTTCTATGTCGAATACAGACAGCCAGTTTCGTCCTAGTTTGGGACTCTTCAGCAGTACGCACCCACCGGGATTCAAATTGGCAGAAGTAAGATTTCAAGGACCATTGGATCGGGTCTCAGTGACTCAATGGTCTACGAGCTCGCCTTGTAACAAGAAAGTCCTGGGTTCGAATCCCGGTGGGTGCGTACTGCTGAAGAGTCCCAAACTAGGACGAAACAGCTGCCCGGTACTCCCAGGTTTTCCAGTGGTTCTCTAAATGATGTCAGCTCATGATTAAATCCTCCATCCAATCAAATATATAGAAGAAAAGAGAGGATAGGTCAGACATATGCTGACGAGGCCATCGAATGACATCGCGCGAAATGCAGGCCACCACTCGAGTGGAGCTCGTTGAATGGGAAGCGTCGAGTTAGTTGTCAATGCCAAGGTGACATGGAGAAGATCATGTGTGTTGGCGGAGGAGGAGATGAGAGATTATGGGCAGTCGTGTGGCTGGCCAGCTGTTCATGTCCTAATGTTCCACTCGGAACCTAAGGGAACAACAATAGTCGTAGTAGTAATAATAATAATAATAATGTGAATCGATATTAGATGCACCCCTATTGTATAGAAGGGAAATAAAAGTCACCTTTTCCTACAGAGATATGTACATACTTGAATGATTTCTTTTTGGCAACCTCATTGTCACACACAAAAATTTCTGTATGATAAATTATCTAGTGATGAAAAGAAGATGCGTAAACTTTGAAAAAAAAGTGATAAAGGTTGATAGACGACAAATGAGTAAACATGCACGCACACGCACACACACACACACACACCTGCATACATGCATACACATCTATAAGAGAGGAGGCTGGTAGGTAATGAATGCATGGATAGCTAAAAACGCTTCAAATTAAAAAGACAGAGAAACAAGATCTCAGTTTTGCTACTATAAAATATAGAATTTTACAAAACGAACAAACACGCGCTCACACACATACACACAGAAAATTAAGATTCTCTTTCCTAATATATATATATATATACATATCCTATAGAACGTCATATAATCAGGATCAATTACGTAAGTAAGCCAGTGAGAAGCAACCATCAGTGAAGCGAGTGTCGAGATGGCATATCTATCGCACTACTAATCATGACACTCAATCTCAAACAACCACGGAGGGTTTCCAAGCCATATGTCCAAAAAGAGATGTCCACTGTTCCCATTTTTGTTTCGTTTCACCGTAAAAGTACACTAATTGAATTAGGCAACTTGAAAGTAAAGGCGTTCGGCGAAGAGTTACTCTTTTCGGTGACATCATTCCTAAGCTATACACACATCTTTGACTTCTTCAATAACTGTTATCCAGCAATTCAGTTAACACAAGAGAAGGAATCCGACAATAAAAAAATATCTTTTCTTGACGTCCAATTAACACGATATGAACAAGGTGGAACACTAAAAAGATCCGAGATTACAACGGACAACTTACTAACTTTCACAGTTGGGTGTCTCTATATACAAAACGAGACCTGGTCCGTTCACTGAGGCACAGAATTCGCAGTCCTAATACTATGGAAGAGGAGCCAAACACTCTGAAGAGAATCCTCTTAGAAAATGGCTACCAAGACCGTTCCGTCACAAAATCTATGAAGCCGAAGACAAAAAAAACTGCTTACACTCTCTGCTTCCAAAAAAACTTCTCTACCTGATTCTACAGTTCAATGGAGATTCATCGGCAAAAATGCTGAGAAACAACCTGTCCCGCCCACTGAAGACAACTTTTTTCACAGCTGAACTACGACTAACCTTCTCAACGAAACCAATGATTCGCATGAAGATGAAGAATAAGCTACCAGTGTTGGCCAGGCTCATCAATGTGCCATCTACCAATTCACCTGCTCGTGTACAGTTAGGTAAGTCGATCGTACCCAATGTTTGCTATCCAAACGTATCATCGAACACTTACCACAGTCATACTGTTTTATACTGTCTTACACACTGTCCTCAAGGTTATGATGCTGATAAAATACACAGGTATTCTGAATACCTTGAAGAGCAGCAATCTTCGGAGATTTAGCATACGACTTACTCCTGTCAAATGTACGATGATGGTGCTGCAGGACTGGACTGCATCGAATGGCTAACTTACCGACGATACCTCAGCACAGAAACAAAAGGGGTTTACGTAACATTTTCTAATCCCGACTTTGAGGTGATATCCGACCAACTACTCATGAAAAGAACGTGTGTATTGAACACACCAGCAGTTCACTCTGTCCTCATTCACGACTATTTAACAAAGCCATTGAAAATGGAAGATATAATTAGGCTAATTATCTTTGACCACAGAGACGTTTGCGTTCCATCTCCAGTGTTAAGTGGTATAGTGTGATGAGTAATTTTGGGGGTTAAGAGTAAAGTTTTTGGGTGAGAAGGGTAAAACAATCGATCAGGTTGTGCAGTTACATCGACTGAGATGATTAGGACGTGCGTTACGTATGTATAGTCATCGCCTTCCTCGACCAACGGGCAATGTTAGCTGATATAGGGTCAGGCTGGGAAAGAGCTAGTGGCGATCAAACTGAGACATGGCACCAGTCAATGAAATTCACAATAGTTAGTTTAAGTCACGTAGGTAGGTGTATGCTTCCTGGTTGGGGTCTTCGAGACGGTAAAAATCAATGACAGCTGGAGACAATTGGTGATGTAGCTCAAAATCGTTCTCAATGGCTGGCGCAGATGCATCCATTCCTTGTGACTTATAACATCCAATGAAAGTATAATGTTCTTCGTTATTACTATTCCTTTTGTCTCACATATCCCTGTCTACTATCTGTATTTTTTTCTACTTTCTTCTCTTGCTTTGTGTGGTACATGGAGTGTGGCGACTTGAACTGCTGCACATCGGTGCAACGTTCTATGTCGAAAACAGACAGGCAAATGACCTCCTACGTGTGCGCCCATTTTTTTTCTACATATTTCTTGAAAGATAGTTCCTTGGTTAGTTTGTTCGCGTAGCTCCTTGTTGTTAATTACTTCTGGTCACTGATCTTTACTATGAAGCGGAGAAACCCGTTGATAAAAGTCTACAACCTACTGGAAATGATTTCGCGACACATACACTCCAAGTTTCTGACCAACAAAGAAGAACATACTGATATACACTTGTGTTGCAAATACTAATCTTGTTATTTATGCCACGAATTACAACAGAGGATTTCCCAATCAATTTCAGAGTGATTAAGGTTTGCCTCGCCTTTTCAATTATGGATGGGTTTGACATCTTCATCCGCTCCGACAGCTATAATTGAAACGATACTTCCCAGATAAGTGAGAGACGCAACCTCTATCAAATCTCTCCCGTTGATGATGAATGGTGCTGGCTGGCTGTTTTGGCTGTTGGTCGGTTAGTTTTCTTCATCACCTCCGTCGTCTCTATGTTCACCTGGGGTCTTGTCTTCGCTGCCTGCTTCTTCTGTCAGTTGGTTGGCTTACGCCTGCAAGTCTTCGAGTTTGTGTGTGTGTGCGTGTGTGTCACATTAAACATAAATCATCTACGCGCGAAATCCAGATCTTCTAAAGCATTCTTATCGATGGTCCAGTGTATTCTTCTCCTCTCACTACTAATGAGGTTGACAAAGATTTATACGTGTTATAATTCTTTTCAATTGCTTTTCCCTACCTTTGTATGTTACATGGAGGATGGCAACGTGAAACTGTTGCACAACACTCCGTAAAGTTCCATGTGTCGATCACCAGTCAGTTAGTCAATCAGACAGACAGAAGTAACCATCGAGGGATTGTGTATCCTATCTGAGACGAAAAAAAGCTTCATAACCGTGTCTCCATTCTCAGAATATATATATATATCGTTGTGGTAAGAGAGAATGAACGAATTTCAAACAATAGTTAGCCAGCCAGTCAGTCAGTTAAGTAGCTGGCCTCAAAGCACTATCCTACAAAATCTAGCTACTGGATACACAGTACAACAACCACAACAACATAATATACATCATGGCATGCATGGCATAAAAAGCACTGTATATCTCATAGTGGCTTCCTTTTGTTTGTAGACACACATATATCATATATATTGTTCTCGCGCATTAAGAGCTACCTCTTTTTTTTCATCTCACTTGTCTATCACACATCATTATTCACTTCCTCTCTCTCTCTCTCTCTCTCTCTATCCAACCTTTTTTGAAATCTCCAATATTGTAACACTAGGAGTTATGCAAGACGACACATTCTGTATTAAGGACAAACTGAGGAGACGATAATAATAATAGAATTTTATTATCTACATATATGTATTCCTTATTCATCACTACAGTTTAACTAACTGACCTGAGATCATTAGAGAAGAGGAGGAGAAGGAGGGTTGATTGACTAAGGTCAATCAGACATATACACACCCACACACAACACAATACTACAAAATATGATGTCACAGCCAAGGGTGGGGGTGGTTAGAGAATAATTCTGATAAAGACAATAATAATGTGAAGTTGTTGTTTTTTATCAATGCAATAAGCATGTTGTTGTTAACCATTCATAAATTTAGCTTAGTTTCTCGTATAATGGATCATCAGTGTAGTCCAGTTTAAATAAATTTAGCAACGTGTTGATTTACAGATCATAAAAACCAGAAACTACTTCAATTATCCAGTCACAAAAGAAACTGTGTGCAGAGTACGAATCAAACTCCACAGAAGCAATAGTAATTCACATGTTAAGTCCAGCCGAACGCTGCATACAAAATCTACAATGGACTTGGTCCGATCCGTCTTAACACCGGATATTATCATTATTATTTTCTTTCCTCACATCATCATATTAAATTTCCCCCTCCTTATAACCACTGCTGTGAACTTGATTCTCGTTCAAATTTTAGCTGAATTCTACTCAATCCCGTCAATTATATATATATATATATATATATATATATATATATATTACATCACTAGCTTATTCAATTTTATTTTAGTTCCTACCTGATAAACACCTTTTTTGTGTTCTGCAATCTTTTTATCTGGAATGAGTTGGCAACACCCCCCCCCACATTCGATTATGATCCCATCCTATCGTGGAATAGGGATGTCTATATGCTAAATCTGTGAAGCCATCTCAGCGCATAGATAGCATAGCATTCTTGTGAAGTCAGTTCTACTATATGGATCAGAAACTTGGCCAGTGTGTCAGGAAAAGCATTTCCAGCAGACAGGCGGCTATTATAGACTTTTATCAACAGCTACCCAGTTCGCTGCCTCCACCATATTGAAGATCAAATGGCCCACGAGAAACAATTAACAACAAAGGACTCTGGGAACAAACTAACCAAGAACTTATCGTTCAGCAAACATGCAGGAGAAAATGGAGATGGATTGGGCATACGCTGAGGAGACCGTCCGATGACGTCACGTGGCAGGCCGGTGGTCAAGTGGAACCCGAAGATGAAACGACGAGTGGGTCGTCAGTGCGAGGGTGACATGGAGGAGACCATGTGGCGAGTAGGGGATGACTAATTATGTAATTATGCTGTGTAGAGGGCAGCAGAACATGGAAGAAAGTGAAGATGTGTTTTTGAAGTCCTATGTTCTCCTCGAAACCTGAGGGAACAATAATAATCATACTATAGAGTTTTGAGCTACAACGAAAAAGCTTCTGCAATGTTACCACTTTGCTTTTTATTCAATGGTTCATGAAGAAAAATGACTCACTTTTGTAAGCTTTGCAATTCACATAGCATGTCACTATGTAGACCATATTTCCTTAAAATGAAAATATGAAGTGAGTAAAGAGCTGAAGAATCATTCTAATAATTCTTCATATCAACAGATCAGGAAGTGACTGACTGAATTTCCACGTGAAACTATGCGTAGAAGTGAAACATTTCAAGCTGCTGCAGTGCACATAGCAGACAAAAGAGATTCGAAATGAGCAGAAGTATGTCGCAGAAAGAATAACCACACGCAGAATAATGACGCTCTGAGAAATTACCTTGGGGGCTGGGAGGAGAAATGGAACTGCGCCACTGAGAACGATTTTGGGCCATATCAATCGTAAAACCTCAAGTCATTGGGTTTTTTCTGAGTCTCGAAGACCCCGACCAAAGAGTTCACACACGCACACCCCAAGTGGCTCACATCAATACATCAGATAGAAGACTGTAATTCTTGAAACTGTCACGTGTGATTACAAAACATGCATGTTTGAGGTGAAGCATGTTAAATTAGATTTCGGAGAGCTACATAACCTGACTGACTGGTTTCAACATAAAACAAATTTGGACAGATGTCCAGTAGTTCCCAGTTGTCAAACTCTATCCATGTACCACACAAAGCAAGAGAAAAGAGTAAAGTGAGGCTCAAAAGACAGGTAATAAACGTAAGTGTCAGTGAGGAGGAGAAAAGAATAGTAATATGAAAGAACAATAAACTTGGGTTGGAGATGATAAATCACAATGAGTGAATCCACCCCCACCAGCCATTGAGACCGATTTTCAGCTACATCACCAACTGTCTCCAGCCATCACTGCTTCCTAACATCCCGAGGACCACAACCAGTCAGCCAGCCTACACCTCCCTACATGGCTGATGCAAACTAACTGTTCACGATTTCATTGACTGATGAAGCCATGTCTTCGTTTGACCACCACTAGCTAACTCAACCCATGTCAGATAACATTGCCAGTCGTCAACGAAGACGATCGCTAGATATGCAGGCGTAACACATATCCTAACCATCTCAATCAATGTAACTTTACAACCTCCCTTGCCGATTGATTTCCCTCTTCCACCTACCTAACACTCCACGCCTGACCTCAATATTCCTCATCCTATTACACCTAACAACCAACACGAAGACAGACAGAACGCAGACACTGCTGATCAAAGAGCGCTAGCCAACCTCTCCATGTCTTCCACTTTCAATGGCCATGTCCCATTTACAGTCATAAAGGAGAACAGAACGATCTGCTGTTGAGCAGGACACACGTCCTTTGATCGACAATCAGCCAGCTGGATATCACGTCTACTAAGCCACCGATGCAGTAATTCGGCATGTTACCGACCAACCCGATGGCGTTGGCTTATGTAACTTCCCAAATTAGTGAAGTGATCAACACACGTTCCACGTTTCTTTTCACATTAGTGTATAACTCATTATAACTCCAAGTATCCCATAAAAGTACAATAAATACCATCCTATAGTACACACACACACTAACAGCATCGACAACATCGAAAACCCCAATAATAACCATATTTAAAAACAGACAAAAGATGAAAATAAACATGTGAACAACATTGCAAGATGAGTACTAATCATCATCATCACCATCATTAATTATCAAGCTCACCTGGATAACCATGACATAAAACATCGATAGGTGTTGCACGTTTCGTATCACCAATTTTCTGATAACGTTCACGTAGATTTTCAGCTTTTAAACCTTGCCATGGTAAACTTCCACGTAAGAAATATAAAAACATATGACCTAAAGCCTCGAGATCATCACGTCGTGATTGTTCTACAGAGACACGTTGTTGTCGAAGAAAAAGCAATATAAGAAGAGCAGAAAAAGAATTCATTAGCATCTCTGCACACATAATACATAATACAAATATCGTGAATTGACAAGTGAACTCTAATTCACTAGTTGTTATAGAGATTGTTACAGACTGATAGAAAAAAACTGTCTCTACGAATGATAGTAGTTTTTGTAAACTATAAATAAGGTTTAGTCACAAACAGGTAAAAGGTTGTGAAGCCGTGACTCATTGGTCCGAAATGCACACAAAACCTCTCTAATCCTCACTTATCTTTGTCTTCATCTTCATCTCTATTACCTTGCCTTCCTCCCACTGATGCAACTCCTCTACTTGATGGCTCCTCACTCCCTCTTCACTCTGTGTCCACTAAAAACGGCGGAAGCCAAAAAACCACCACCGATAGTCTCCTAAAGCCACGCCACCAATTTCATATAGGAGCATTTAATGTTAGGACACTGTGCCAAATAGGACAACAAGCATCACTAGCTAAGACCCTGGCATCCCGAGCGATTGATGTATGTTGTGTTTCAGAAACACGCATACAAGACCTTGAGGGTGTCAGGAGATGCCACAGCCAGTTCACGAGGATTAGCTGGCGTAGGGATAGCTTTGAGTACTAGGGCAGAAAAGACATTACTTGACTGGATCCCAGTAGATAGCCGAATGTGTGCTGTCCGTCTGAACGGATCAGTAAGAAGGAGAAAGGACTGCACTACTCGCCGATGCCTTTTCGTAATCTCCGCCTACGCCCCCACTGACTGCAGTTCGGATGAAACGAAGGATGAGTTCTACCAAAAGCTGTCTAGTTTGGTGAGAAAGGCTAAACGCTCAGATATAGTCGTTCTAGCTGGTGACTTTAATGCTCAAGTAGGGAAATTGTGTCAATCTGAGAAGGATGTCGGTGGCACCTATGGAGTTCCGTGCCAGCGAACCGACAACGGTGACCGTCTCCTACAGTTCTGTTCAGATAATCATTTGTTTCTTGTAAGCACTAACTTTAAACACAAGGAGAGACACTGTTTAACCTGGCGACCCCCATCATCAAACCAACGCTGGACACAAATAGACCACATAGCAATAAGCTATCGTTGGCGTGGGTCGGTAGGAGATTGTCGCTCCTTCTGGAACACGTGTGTAGATACCGATCACGCACTGGTCCGGGCTCGTGTGTGCTTACGACTGAACGGACGTAGGAAACAGCTGGCGGTAAAACCATCACGTCCCCAGCTCGATCAGGAAACTAAATCCCTATTTGAGGAAGAACTAGCTAAACGCATATCTGAATTCGACAGCTGTGCTCACCCTGGAGAAGCCTGGAAGAATATTCAGTCAGCTATAGATACAGCTGTAAAAGCTGTGAATAAGGCAAATCCAAAGGTGAGTAAAAACCACTGGATTTCGACTGCCTCATCCGAACTGATAGATGCTAGAAGACTTATTCCGGCGAGCTCCGAATTCAATGAGGAGCGAAAGCTGCACAAAAGGAAACTTACTAAAAGTCTCCGCAAGGACCGTGAACAGTGGTGGGTGACAAAGGCAAAAGAGATGGAAAAAGCATTGGCGATAGGCAACACTAGGCAACTCTTTAGACTCATCAGGGAAACGGGTGGGAGAAGGCAAATCATAAGTGAGACTATTTCTGAGAAAAATGGCTCCTTAATTAGCTCTCAGGATAGACGCCTTGAACGCTGGAAAGAACACTTTGAGGACAATTTAACTTGCCTACAGCCACACTGAACCTCCCCGCCATCCACCACGTACCCGAATGGGATATAGACACTGGTCCGCCGTCTGTAAGTGAGGTCACAAAAGCTATCAGTAATTTGAAACGAGGCAAAGCGGCAGGACCCGACGGAATTATTCCGGAGGTGTTTAAATATGGGGGTGACATACTAGTTTGTAGATTAACTGAGGTACTAGGCAAAGTCTGGGAATCAGAGACAGTGCCATCAGACTGGGGTAAGTCACTTATTATACCGATATTCAAGAAGGGAAACAAGTCCTCGTGTGATAATCATAGGGGGATCAGCCTAACGAACATAGTCTCTAAAATCCTAGGCTCAGTAATCATGCATAGACTAAGCAGAACTCGGGAGGAACAGACAAGGGAAAATCAAGCAGGCTTTAGACCAGGTAGAGGGTGCATAGATCATATCTTCACTCTTCGACAGATTCTAGAACATAGACACACTTTTCGGCGTCCAACAATTGTCATATTTCTTGACTTGAAGGCGGCCTTCGACTCCGTGGATCGAAAGGTACTATGGCAATGTCTGACTGTGAAGGGAGTGCCAAGAAAGTACATTGCACTAATCAAGGCACTCTATTCAAACTCACGTAGTCGTGTAAGGGCTTATGGGGAATTGTCATCTGAATTGGTAACAACCAGTGGTGTCCGACAGGGATGTCCACTTTCCCCATTTCTGTTTAACTTCATCATAGATATGCTGATGGAAGTATCCTTAACTGAACGTAGTGACTTAGGAATCGACTTGTTACCAGGGAATAATCTAATGGACTTAGAATATGCAGATGACATAGTCCTGTTAGGGGAGGATGCTGACAAAATGCAGAGTCTTCTGAACACCTTGAGCAGCAATCTTCGTATGTTTGGCATGCGATTCGCCCCTACAAAATGTAAGATGCTGCTACAGGACTGGACCACGTCAACTCCTAACTTAGTGATAGGGAGTGAAGTGATAGAACATGTTGACCACTTCACCTATTTGGGAAGTTGTATTAGCACCAACGGACTGATTGGCGATGAAATCTCAGCACGGATCCGAAAAGCTCGAGCTGCTTTCGCTGACTTACACCATCTCTGGCGTAGGCGTGACATCCGGTTATCAACCAAGGGACGTGTGTACTGCTCATCAGTTCGCTCCGTCCTTCTCTATGGCTCTGAAACATGGCCAATACGCGTTGAAGACATGAAAAGGTTGACTGCTTTCGATCATAGATGTCTGCGATCTCTGTCTCACGTTAGGTGGTTTAACAAGGTAAGTAATGTTGACGTTAGGCGTAGAGTGTTGGGCAAAGAGGGAAAATCAATCGACGAGGCTATAAAGTTACATAGACTAAGATGGCTAGGTCACGTGCTGCGCATGCCTAACCACCGCCTCCCCCGACGGGCATTACTAGCTGATATAGGTTCAGGTTGGAAAAGAGCCAGTGGTGGCCAAACAAAAACATGGCATCAATCCATGAAATCCTTGACAGTTAAACTGAGTCAGGTAGGGAGATGCAGACTCCCGGGTTGGGGCCCTCGGGACTCTAGGAATCAATGGCTGGAGACAATAGGTGACATGGCTCAAAATCGTTGTCAATGGCCAGCGCAGATGTATTCAGTCTCTGTAATCTTTCATATTCCTTTCTACCATTACCCATTCTGTTTCACTCTTATATATGTCAAACTCTATTGATTCTCTTCACTCATCTTCTTGTCTACCTCTGTGTGCTATTTGGAACGTGGCAACTCGAACTGGTGCACTTCGGTGCCAAGTTCTATGTTGAATCCAGACAGATAGACAGACTCATTGGTCCATATGTATGCAAGATGTACGACCATAAGGAAGAAAGCCGTTCCACCTACTGCTGAGCTTCTGAGAACCAAGTGAAACAAAGGAGAATAGCAGCACATTTACACACATCTGCCCTGTTGTCTGCAATCTTCTTGGCTCTACGATTTTCCATATAAGCTTTGATTTTCTCTTCACATACTATTATTCGCTTCATTATATCACCCTGGAGGTGACGTTCACCTCGTTTTTACCTATTCAATTTTTCATTTGACGGGGGCTTAATGTAGGATGTCAGTAGTCAAAGGTCTCTTCAGCGCGTGTCGCCCAACCCACCTCCATTTCTTTACGTATACATTTGTTGGGCTACAGGTTCTTGACCAGCTTGTTACCAGAATTCCCTGTTGTTTATTGTTCATGATAAGGCGTCTGATCTAACAGTATCGTGGCGTAGAACGCAGCATTTGAATGTCTGTTGGAAATGCTTTTGGTGATACGCCCGCAAAACCTCTGAACTGATTTGACATCAGTGTTAAAAATCTGGTTATTATCCCTCGTACACTGAGTGCTAAAGATTTCCACACTGACTTCAGACAAATGAGGGCCTGTCTTTGACATCCTCATTCATTCTACCAAAGTATAAATACATACAGTCGGATACATTAAATAGGTAACATTCCCATGAAGACATCAATTAAATAGTAAAAACAATTTACAACAAATTATGCCTGATTTTATTTGCTCTATGGTGAGGCAAGTAGGTAGAATCAATGCAGAACGCACAGCTCTTCCTCCTATTTCAAACAAGTCGGCCTTAGGTTTCAGCGCATCTCCCTCCAGTGAGTGATGGTTCTTCATCTCAGATTCAAACAACTGATACCAGTTTGCACAATAGGTGCAATACTGTACCCACGGTATGTAAACAATAACACTGGCTTTCTGAAATGATGACTACTGCGTTCAAGACTCAGACAAGCTGACAAGTTCGCAAATAGGCCAAAACACACGCCGCCATCAACCGAATAACATCATAATAATCTTCAAACATCATCATCGAGGTGGCCGGCACTAATGCGGTGAGGTACTACTTTTAATCCGATATAAGTAGTATATCAACCAGTAAACGAATTCAGTAAAGTAATAAAATACGTTTCGTGACACCGGAGAAAAAAGAAATCGAAGTAGAAGAGAACTATGAGAAGAACGTCACACAACACACTTTTCAGAATCCAACAAGCTATCGAATGTGGTGGGTGATAATCGACCAATTATTCACTAACGATGTGCAAATAAAGATAAGGTATGCCAACTGTGAAGTCAGTGCTACTATACAGATCAGAGACTTGGCGCGTCACAAATGGCACTTCGAACAAACTAAAGAATTTCATCGACAGCTGTCTTCGGTCAATACTCAAGATCAGATGGCCGGCTAGAAAAGATCAGGAACAGGGATTCTCTGGGAGCAAACCATCCAGGAACCGATTATGCCATAAATAGGCAGGAAGAAATGGAGATGGATTGGACATACTCTGAGGAAAATAAAAACATATGGGCAGACTTGGAGGCAGGTGAAAATTCTAGGAGAGAACCGAACGCAATGGAGACGCCCGACTGAAGCCCTATGTTCCTCTAGGAATTAAAGGAAATAATAATAATACCAAATTTATGTACCTACAACGGCGTTTGTCCTAAAAAGCATTACCTTCTAGTCTGGTCGGTCTATTCTCCTTTACACTAGGAGACCCGATGTCAACAGAGATCGAATATATTTCGGTTCAATTAAATCGATTAAAAAGGGGAAATATAACTCACTCAACTAACAATATAAATAACATATACGAGACGACTTTTCTGTGAAAAATAGTCAAGTGAAAGACAAAAAAATACAAAGCTTTGGAGAGAAAAACAACTGGATGGTGAATTCTGGTCTCAGAGGGAAAAATACATCGCTTACAGTAATATGAATACTGCACATTCATCCACCGCCAGGTGCAAAGATCACAAAACTGATTTTGCTCTAAATTCCGTTGACACTTCATAATAATGTGTGCATAATTATGTAAGAGATAATCACCGCTCTTTTAATTGAGAGAGATAGAGAGAATCACCCTCAGTGTGTTTATTATTATTATTATATCCTTCAATTCCTAGAGGAACATAGGACTTCAACCGGGCGTCTCCGTTGCATTCGGTTCTCTGTTGACGTTTTTACCTGGCTTCAAGTCTGCCCTCATGCTTTCATCTCCTCTCCACATGATCTCCAAGTCACCCTCGCACTGAAGATCAGCTTGCCGCTTCTCTTTCGGGTTCCACTTGAGGGCTTGTCTAGTGATGTCACTTGATGGTTTTCTCAGAGTATGGCCACCAATCCACCTCTATTTCTTCCCGCCTATTTGTTGCATAATCGGTGTGTGTGTGTTTAACCAGTCAATCGCATCCATTAAAATAAACCGAACACTACAACTAATATTAAGAAAAAGTTTGATTATGCTACACACAGATTTGCTCATTTTCCGGGCGGAAACATACCGGTTCAAGCTACCTTTTTAGGTTTTTGAAGTGATAATCTCTTTTTTCTCTTACAGTTTATGCGGAGGGAGGGATGGGGGGCTTACCAGCCTCACCCCCAACCTTCTCTCTTTCACCAAGCCAGGCGAGGGGTTTCGGGAGTGCATGAACCGGGAATCATATCCACAGCTCTGGCTCGCAGGTGATGGTGAGCATCCCGTGTCCATCCATTCACCCACCCGCCCAGGCATGCAGCACGTAATAATACTGATTATTTAACAATACAAATATCTTAAATTAGAAGAAATAAAACGACAAACAGAGTTCTACAGTTTCTGTATATACCAATTTTAATTCCAATTAATTCCACCAATCAATACTGTCGAGAATAAACGAGAGCACATGATTAACTTTCATAATAAATATATATAATCCAAAGCGTATGACTTTTTGGAAGCAAAATACGTTTCTAAACAATTTATTTTCATATATGATCTGTCTTTTAACGTTGATTAATTTGCGTCAAATTATATTCTATCTATATCCTTTACATTTATCTGAGACCAAATGATTATTGATTTAATAATAATATACCATAATCCCATAAGATCACTGAGTATCAAAGCAAATGATCCGACCAAGTTCAAACGACACATCAGATCAAATCAGACCGATCATTTACTCTAAACTACTTCGTGTTTTTATTCCTTCACGTTCCCAGTGAGACACATAGGGCTTCAACCTTTAGCTTTGAGGTTTTTCAGTAGCAGAGATGTTTTACAGGGTAGGGTTACTAGCCTCACGCTAACCCAACCTTCTCCCTCTTTTTCGGGATTGTAAATGGCTAAAGGAGGTAAAGGTGTGTATGTGCCCGCCGGGACTCGAACCCTGGTCGGTTAGAGCTCCATCGCTGAACTACCGACGCACACTCTAAACTACAACAACCAGAAACAAAACTACCTCCTAACCAAATAAAGACTGACAAATCTTTATCGACTAACCAGATGCATCCAAAGTAAATATGTGTGATTTGAAAAGAAAAGTTTATGCAGTGTTAAAAAGTAATTACATAGGATAATGTTTTTGTGTATGTTCCAAGAAAACCTCCCAAATTTATCATTGTTAGGTCAAACCAATTTCTGTACACATAAATTCATCTTTCTTTCTTGACCTATTTACCGCGCTCTGAACCTCCTTTTTTAAGTGATTCCATTGGTCTATGTGAATGGTCGTGTGCCAAGTAGCACTAAACGTTAGATGACAGATAATGAAACACTGACACCACGATTAGGGATCGCTTAGATATATCCTTTCTGACGGGATGGTGTGCTCACCATTCATAATTCCACCTATATTTTATCTTATATTATAGCTTGATTCCATACAGTATTTTTGGTAAAACTATGGAATTTTCAGTGTGTGATATAGGTAACCCAACTTTAGCAGGCCGACCATTGATATCAGGTGTGCGTAGGCTTGGGATCGAACCCTGGACAATGCGCATGGTCAGCGAGCGTCCTAACCGCTGTACCACCGAAGCACCGACTCTTCTGATCGGTCCGCCAAGGTCATTAATCCACTCAATAGGTAGTTTCGTTTCGAGCTTCTGTAATTTATAGTCACCGATCAATCTTTCCCTACCAAAAATCTGAACTATGCGAGGCTTAGTAATAATACTTTCACATATGGACGGAAAAGACGTGTAATGTGTGGTCAAGAGATACACTTGATGTACATGACAGCTATCAGTAGCCTTTGCTACCCTTTGTGGAGCAGTGGATCATTGGTCTAGGTGCTTTCCATAAAAATCAGTGGACTATGGGGTTTAAGTCCCGCTCTTCCCAGACCGACCGATAGCTGCTACTTTGGAGTAGTGATGATGATGGTGGTTGGGCCTGCATATCGCAGTGACTCAACGAGCTACACTGCCTGATCCTACCATGACAGGAGAGTAGTCAGAATAGTGATTAGACTAAAGGCACTTACCGGCATAGTGTACTGCTCGGGAACGAGGATACAACAGCAGTAGAGTGTTTCCCTCAAATGACCAGCACATGCCAGCTATCTTGCCTCTTCACTGTGGAGAGAGGGATTAGAAAAGTCCAACACCAGAAAGTGTACATCCTAACTTACCCTACGGAGGTCTGTAAACAGGGGTAGTGAGTTCTTAATACGGACACAATTCTAATAACCATTTCACACAGACTGTGTGACCAGCATCAAGCAGTTGTCGCCTGGGCTCTGCGGCGATGCAACACTCATTCTCCTGATGTTTCAGGTACCTCAAGAAGAAATTAATCAGTCGCTTGCCAAGGAGTATGGGCAGCAAAGTGGTACCACTAGTCCTTATGTAATAGGTGTGGTTCATGCCCAGCTTGGCGTGAAACTACAAGTGGTTGTTGAGCAACAAATTCGCTTTCTTTTTATTTTCCTCCAAGTTGTAGTAAGTTGAACAAGACTAGAGACGGCTGTGCACAGAAACACAAGTCGAATCTGAAATGCGTCTTTAGACAGATGGATGTCGTATCCCTCTGACAAAATAAGGGTGAATTTAAACTATGACAATCACTCCAGCGCATATGACTTTCAACCAACAAACAGAGTTACACATAATACAATCAAGTCAAACTATGCCTTCTGTTCTGAGTTTGCTTGACATCTTTCCAAAAAATCGATTATTTGATTACAGGATAAATAATAATGGATTCATTAAAGTTACCAAAATATGCATATGTTCGAGAGAAGCTTGCCACGATGACTGATCATTTTGGAAGGATTGGGATTTGCGGCTAGATTCAAGAACAGGATCAAAAATCCAAACGGATTTGAGAACTTCTCGGGGGTTAGTTTGTACGAATTTGATTTGTGTCAAGTTTCATCACCGATCGATATCAGTTAGAGAACCAATGGAAAACCACCAGGCGGTGTACTAGACGGCTGTTTCATTCAAGTTTCAGATTCTTCGGCAGTACACACACCTACCTACCTTTTTGGTTGCAAGACAGGCTCGTAGAACACTCAGTCACTAGGATCCAAATTGAGTGGTGTGTGCTACCGAAAAATCTCAGACTGGGACGATGAAACAGCTGCCCAGTGCCCAGTACTCACTCACTGATGGTTTCCACCAATCGTTATCTAACCGATATCAATCCCTGGTCAAACCTGAGACACATCTAAGACCACCACAGTCGTCTACATAGTCATATTTTTAACAATTTCGCAATTTTAATTGCTCCCCAATTCTAATTAGCAGCCCGAGCTCATTGGTAAGGCAGACAGAGAGAGGTGGTTCCTATAGTTTAACTTAACCAAAAAAATACCGTAGACTAGCAGACACTATGTAGAGTAATATAGTACTCAAAGATGCGAGAACAAGCATGTATAAACACACACACACACACACACAGAATACACAAAAGAGAGGAAGTCAAAGTTACACACCCACTAATACCAACATCATCATTGACTTACCTTTGCCTAAATGTGTATTAATACTCATATATCGTGCAGTACCAGTTAAACTTTTATGCTCACGATAAGGAATGTGTTTCTGTGTTTCAGGATCAATATATTCTTTAGCTAAACCAAAATCAATAATATAGATAGTACGATGTCTATTATAGTATTGACGTCCGATAAGAAAATTTTCTGGTTTCACATCACGATATATTAAATGCTTTGAATGTACATATTCAATACGTCGAAGCTTAAAGTGTTTAAAAGAGAAGTAAAACAAAAAAGTGAAAGTTATTCAACAAAAATGAAATTTTTAAAAACAATAACTATTTGTGTGAATAGAAAAACTAAATAAATATTACTAGAAAGCGAAAAAGATTTTTATTATTTTTTAAAAAATTAAATTTTCAATCGAATAGTATAGTTAACTGTTATTATTTATCACTAAAATATATAGACTCGGTACATCATGGGCACCAAAAGATGCACTGTATATAGTGTGTAATAGTTTGTTCGAGGATCCAGAGAAACCGAACCAAATCGGCTGGTTCTCTTCAGGGGCCACCGCTCCCCTAGCCTTTAAGCACAAGGTGTTCAGCAGACTCTGCTGTATTTTGTCAGCGTCCTCGCCTAAAAGGACTATATCGTCTGCATATTCTAAGTAAACGAGATTATACCCTGGTAACAGAAAAGTCAATCCCTGATTCTCTGAAGTGAGTTAGTACCTCTATGATGAAATTGAGTAGAAATGGAAATAATGGGCGTCCCTGACGGAAAACACCAGTCAACATCACTTCAGATGACAACTCGCCGTAAGCCCTCACCTGGCTACATGAGTTCGAGTAGAGTGAGTGCCTTGATCAGCGCAATGTATTTTCTCGATATTCCCTTCACAGCCAAGCATCGCAAGAGTCCCCAGTGAATGGTGATATCCCCCCTCCAATGGGACTTGAACCCAGCATCCATTGTCTCAAAAGACAAAGCATTAACCATTATGTGGTGCAGTGGGACCATAAGATTTTCATACTAGAAGGTAACATACCAACATACACCGAACAGTTCAGTTCAGTTCATTTCAGTATAATCCATCAACAGGAAATCTACAATCAACTTGAATAAGCATAAACATCGACAAGCCTTAATACATCGAATTATATAATTTAAATAGCTCCATATTGATAACTATGGAACACTATTTCAGCAAGCCAATATGTGTTTTCAGTAACTTCCCATCAGGTTTTACATTTACATAATGACGGAATATTAGCCATAGGCATTTGAATGATGAATGTGGTTGATAAGATGTGTAGGATCAGAGTTCAGGGGTGTGAATTAATGGAAAACAATTGAGGTGATCATAATAATAATAGTAAAACCAAGGATAAATTCATTCAAGTGTGTATATAATCTAGGCAGTGGTGAGTGTATAGGTAGAGAATGTGTATACTATTAGGAGGAGTAGAGGGGAAAATAACTACTGCCACATAACCAATACACCAATTTCAAGTCATTTGCTCTTGTTGCATGCAAACCAAATCCTATTTGAGTGAGCGAGTGAGTAGAACCTTTCAGTGGTGTACAGTAATTCGAGTTTCTCAACTCCCTTCATGTAGCATACAAAGCAAGAGAAGAGAGTAAAGGGAGGTCCACAAGACAGATAATAAACAGAAGTGTAGGTGAGGGAAAAAATATTATTATGGAAGAACAATTCAGTCAGTTAGAAATTCTATACTGGTACACCCAATGGATACAGAGCACAAGAACGACAAAAACTCAGCCTTTACAATCCTATACTAGAAGCTATTTCAATTCCCTATGTTTGAACGCCTTCGGTTGGCAAGCCTAGTTGAGGCAGTTGCCATAATGAGGTTTCAACCCAATCTCCGTATTCAGAAAAGAGTTTATTCAGTTTCTCTTCCTCCCTTGACCTTTGCCCCTAAACTAATATAGGTATCTCTCACGGTGACACACCGGGATAACTGCAGATATTATCTTATTATACTTTTATTTTGTCTTATTTATAATGCTAACTGTATTATCAATATCGTGCTGTGCGCTGTAGTTGTGCGTCCTAATCTCCGTTTCACAATTAATTATTATTATATTATCTAATTGTTATGTGACAATAAATTTTTTTACGAGTTGATCACGGATTGATATCAGTTAGAAAACCAAGGAGTACTGGACAGCTGCTGTTTCATCCTAGTTTGGGAATCATCAGAAGTACGCACCCACTGGGGTTCGAACCCAGGACCTTCCGGCTACAAGGCAGGCTGGCTCGCATACCATTCAGCCCATTGGGACCCGATTCAATGGCCAGCGGATGAATTCTAACTTCTACTAATTCGTGATTTAGCGCGACCCCAACCATTGTCGTAGGTGGGACATCCATCCTCACACGTGACATCTGGATGGACCTCACTGGTGACGACTTCTTACTAGAACTCCTGTAGCAAGTCACTAGCGGGCATCAGATTAATTCTCTATAGTTTGGTTTGTAAGGGTTAGTTTTTTCCTCATCTACTCCTCCTACTAGTATATACACATTCTCTACCTATACACTCACCGTTGCCTAGACTATATAAACACTTGAATTAATTTATCCTTTTTATTATTATTATTATTAGGATCAGTTCGATTGTTATCCGATCCTATATCCTATTGACCACATTCATCATTCAAATGCCCATGGTTAATATTTCATTCAAATGAGTAGAAAATCTTCAAATGCTTATTAACCACAGAATTTCAATCCAATTTAATAGTCATATGCACGTAGATAAAGGTGCTTCTACACTACGGCATTACACTACGACACCTATTGTGGGAAGACTACATGAAACAGGGTTTAAAGACTATATATAGTCAAACGGGTGCGTACTGCCAATGATTCCCAGACTAGGATGACACAGCAGCTGTCCAGTACTAACTGGTTTTCAATGGTTCTCTAACTGATATCAATCCGTGATCAACTCGTAGAAATAAAACTAACCCTAACAAACCAAACTATAGAAAATGTAAGTGTAAAGCCTGATGAGAATTTACCGTAAAACACGTATTGGCTTGCTTAAATCGTGGACCAAAATATATATGACAGTATGCCTTTGTGGGAGACTGAGATCCAGACACATTAATAAAACGTAACTGTCCTCAGCTCGATACCAACAGAAATAATCATTTAATGATATTAGAATGGTGTGTTACTTCTCAAGGTAATCAGTACTCCACCACAATCACGTTAGAAATCATCACAACATCACCCAACCATTATCATCATTTCCAATATGAATAACGCTGATAACACACACCACACAATAAAGAAAACGCCAGTATCAATCAGAACAAAAATCAATATTGACAGTATTTTCTCTTAATCATTAGAGAACCATAATTTATGCTTTTTAAGCAACCTGCAGAAAAACAATTAGTTGCATAAGAGAACGAACGGTTCAAAGTAAAGATTTTGATAATACTTTAATTGAGAGATAGATTCAATCTAATTACAACACCACACACGCACACACGATAAATAATACGAATGTCAATTCACACACAGGTTACATTTGACCTTACTTAGTCGATTAAGCCGGTTCACAGATTACGCAAAATACCATCCACCCACCGACCAAACAACAAACGTTTTGTTCTATAACAATCATTTTCGATAATTATAATTATTATTATTATTATTAATATCTCATCGATATGATGGAATAAAGTTCAGTAAGGCGACGCACACACACACATACACAAACAATATTCGATACTGCATGCACACACACAGATTATGTCGGCAGGCACAGAACAATAGACGACCGATTCAGTGACGGACACACCAACAGACAAACAAACAAGCAGCTGACAGACAGACAGACACACAAACCGACAACCAAAAACACTGAGTCGAATAAAAGGTTATATGAACAATAGAGGCATGGAATCAATAATAACATGATTAGTATGATTAGTCATTGTTATTATTATTGCTCCCTTGGGTTCCTAGTGGAACATAGGGCTTCAACTGCACGTCTCCATTTGCTTCTGCCTTCTCCTGTACTTTTCGCCTGCATCCATGTTAGTCCATACTCTTTCAACTTCTCTTCACACGATCTCCTTCATGTCACCCTTGCACTGACGTCCCACACGCCGCTTCCCTTTCGGCCTGGTTCCACTCGAGGGCTTGACGAGCGATGTCACCCAGCGGCGGCCTCCTCAGCGAGTGTCCGATCCATCTCCACTTTCTCCTGCATATTTGTTGGTTGACGATTGATTGGTTCTTGTTTTGTTTGTTCCCATAATTCCTTGTTGGTGATTCTTTCCGGCCCGGCCATCTGATCTTCAGTATAGAGCGAAGACAGTTGTCAATAAAGGTCTGCAAACTTTTGGAAATATTCTTTGTGACCCACCCGCCAAGTTTCTGATCCGTATAGAAGAGCTGACTGACTTGACGTTTGTATTGAAAATCCGACCGAATTTTGTTGTTGATGCCAGCTGAGTGAAGAAGATTTCCAGATTGATTCCAGGTTGATGAATGTGTTTCTCGCCTTCCCGATTCTCGATTTGACATCTTCGTCCGCTCCTCCTGTAGTTGAGACAATGCTCCCTAGATAAGTGAATGAAGTAACCTCTTTTAAATCCCTCCCGTTGATGGTGACTGGCGCTGGATGTTGTTGTTGTTGGTTGGTTGGTTATTTTCATAACCTCCGCCTTGTCTATGTCTATGATTAGTCATTACGTAATAATAATAATAATAATGAGCACTGGCAAGTGTAAGAAACAGTGGGATGAGGTGGCTGTCACAATCTAGATTTTCCATTCTTAACATGGTAATCGGACACATTGACAGTGAATACTGATCAGGAACATAGATTGTTATCGCTATTCTTCAAACTCTGTTGCTTACTACTTTTATTGAGTCACAAAAGTATCAGTAATTTTTACATCACCCTCTAGGCGGTCGCTCGAGTTGAACTCGAATTGGGCGTCACATCGAGGGTGACATCGAAGAGACAACAGTTTATAGGCAATAAGAGAGAGACGGCTACAGAGAACCGCAGAAAACAAGATGAAATGGAAATGTGCTGTTGAAGAGGCCTATGGCATCAGGTAATGAAATCCACAACAGTTAGTTTAAGCCAGCCATGTAGGAAATGTGTAGGCTGGTTGACTGGTTGGGGTCCTCGGGAAGGTAAAAACCAATGAAGGTTGGAGACAATCGGTGATATGGTTGGCTCAAAATCGTTCTCAGTGATGGTGTAGATGCGTCCATTCCTTGTGACTTATAATATCCAATGAAACTATATTGTTCTTTATTATTACTATTCTTTTTGTCTCATATCTCTGTTTACTGTCAATGTTTTGCATTTCTTTTTACTTTTTTCTCTTGCTTTATGTGCTACATGGAGTGGAGTATGGTGACTTGTGCTGCACATCGGTGCAAAGTTCCATGCCGAAACAAGTCAGTCAGTCAGTATGTCCAGCTCGAAACCCAGGGGAATCATAATACATTATGATAATAGTGTGACCTTTTTATACATTAAAATCCCAAGTGGGAAATAGGACTTCAAGCTAGAAAACTTTGAAGTTTGGGTAGCAGTGGTGTTTATTTCCAAGGGATGAGGTTGCTAGCCTCATGCCCAACCTTGCCTCTTCACCACTTTTATTGCCGGCTTACCGAGATAGGGAAGTGCGTTGGTGGCCGGGGATCGAAACCCCAACTATACGCGTGGTTGACGAGTATTCAACCGCTGTGCCACCCGACGCATGATACTAACTTACACCTATCAAAATGAATGCTTCAATTTCACTATAATCTTCCCTTACATTTACTTCTTCCTCAGGATGCAGGCCACAAGTGTATCACTGACTCTAGATAAGTTAATATACTGAAAACTCGTGACCACGAGTTCGTAGCCTCTGCAGTGTAAGTTCTACTCACTGCCTTCGTGCGGCAGGAGTGTTTCCCACAGAAGTGAAACGCCGAATGCAAACATCTTGCGCTTACACCCCGGACTAGTGGGCATTAAGATTTACCTAGGTGAGCTGAAAACCCCTAATTTCAAACAGTTATGGTGTACATGGACTACAGAATCCAAAAGAATCGAATGGCTTATGAAGGCGGTTTGATCATCAGAAACAATACGAACACAACTCTGACTGGACACTAGTAACTAGTGCGATGTGTCTAGTCCTTACCTCGGTGCACACTGAATTCTAACAGTCAGGTTTGCAACGTGGCCACCATTCTAGATAGCTCGCCATCACCGGGCACATTGCTTTGATGATATAAGTTGGGTGGAGGAAATCGGCAGAAAGCCTCACCTGATCTAGGTTTCGTGCTAGTTAGTCAATCAAAATATCTACTACACTACTACAGGAGGTCAATCACGAGTCTGAATAGCTCCTCAGTAGTGATGTCTCTGACTGCAGCACTGGGTGACGCAGGTTTGAATCTCAGAAGGGATATGAGTTCCTTCTAGGTCACAGATACGCCTTGCTGACTGACAAGTGGCAACTAGCAAGAAACCAATGTCAGGTGAGACTTCCTGCCGATTACCTCCAACCAACTAATATCACGAACACAACTTCTTAAGCTGTTTCACTGCCCTGTGAATCAGACTTCAAGTCAAAAGCTCGGGGAGAGGGAGGCCTTCTAAGACAACCACCCTGTGTTGGTCTGAACGTTTGGACAGATCCAATTTCTCACACAAACTATGGAATTTTGCATAATGCCTTTCTTGATGACCATATTGTACTACGTTTCTGTTCTAATAAATGATAAATTGACAAGCAAACAAGTGCTATTATAATTCTGCTGGCTCGATGATAATGGTAACAAGATGTTCACAAAAACTGCCATCCATTGTTTTGATTTACATTTCAGACATTCGCACCTGATAGGTGTGAACACACCGATGATCCTTGGACGCTTAGTTAGAGCAAGCCAAGGAAACACAATAAATTGCATTACATTCATAGAAAAATGAGGTCTGACTGAGTGACTGGTTTCAACACAGAACAACTTCGCATAGGTGTGCAGCAGTTCCAGTTGCCAAACTCTATCCATGTACCACACAAAGCAAGAGAAGAGAGTAAAGTGAGGTTCAAAAGACAGGTAATAAACGTAAGTGTCAGTGGGGAGGAGGAGGAGAAAAGAATAGTAATATGAAAGAACAATAAACTTGGGTTGGAGATGATAAATCACAATGAGTGAATGCACCCCCGCCAGCCATTGAGACCGATTTTCAGCTACATCACCAACTGTCTCCAGCCATCACTGCTTCCTAACATCCCGAGGACCACAACCAGTCAGTCAGTCTACACCTCCCTACATGGCTGATGCAAACTAACTGTCCACGATTTCATTGACTGATGAAGCCATGTCTTCGTTTGACCACCACTAGCTAACTCAACCCATGTCAGATAACATTGCCAGTCGTCCACAAGGGCGATGGCTAGACATGCAGGTGTAACACATATCCTAACCACATCAATCGATGTAACTTCACAACCTCCCTTGCCGATTGATTTCCCCCTTCCACCTACCTAACACTCCACACCTGACCTCAATATTCTTCATCCTATTACACCTAACAACCAACACGAAGACAGACAGAACGCAGACACTGCTGATCAAAGAGAGCTAGCCAACCTCTTCATGTCTTTCACTTTCAATGGCCATGTCTCATTTACAGTCATAAAGGAGAACAGAGAGAACTGCCGCTGCTGAGCAGGACATATATCCTTTGGTCGACAGTCAACCAGCTGGATATCACGTCTACTAAACCACAGATGGAATCAAACGAGCTTTTCGTATCGGCGCTGTGATTTCGTCAGGGACTAACCAGTTGGTGTTGGCTGATGTAACTACCCAAATAGGTGAAGTGGTCAATACGCTCTACCTACTCACATCACTACTTTAAGCTACGAATCAATGTAGTTCAGTCCTGTAACATCATCTTACATTACACGAGAGCGATATCTGGTTAGTAAAAGGTTAAGTTAGGGAAAGATTGAGGGGCTAGGGGCCGGTTATAGAGATATTAGTGCTGGTTAGGGTAAGGGTTATGGTTGAGTCAGAGACTCAAATTAGCTTCTTAAAACAATTGCTCGTTTTAAAGTCATTGGTGAGGTAGCATGTGTGTTAGGTGTCTATCCTTTAACTTGGCCAGACATTCTTCTATAAATCAATATATATATATATATATATATATATATATATATATACATAAACACACGTCTGTCTGTGTCGCAAATAATTTATGCGATTGCAACCCAAAATTTTTTCTAAACACCAACACCTACCAGTTGGATAGCAATCATGAGGACTGTTTTCAGGGAGAATTGACGTTTACACGATTCAAATAAATCTTCCAATGATGGACCAAGCAATTCCATAACCAGTGCATTATGCCGACCAACTGGTCCAAAATAATAAACCATTGGGAAGCCAACTACACCACCACTGAGTAATAAACGATAGAATCGATATTCTAAATGCAACTGGGGAGCACGTGTTTTCATTGGTTCCAATTTAATAGCAACATATTCATTGGTATATAAATTACGACCTGAATAATATAGTATAAAGGGGGAAACAAAAACAAAAAATAAATAACAAGTATCATAGAATGACAGTCAAACCTGTACCTTAACATTCTTCATCGACTTCGAAAGGGCTTTCTCACCAGGCAGTACAGCGATGACCGAGAAGTAGGCAGGCTATATGAGAATGCTTGACACGTGTCAGGTGATCCACATAGGAAAACTCAGCGAAGCATTCGAAGTGAATACAGGAGTGAACCAAGGCTGCTGTCTTTCATCACTAATGATATTCTTAATTGTGGTGGACTGGATTACGCGGAAGACCGTTTGTTGGGAGTAAGAAGACAGGAATACTCTGGACTGTGACCGATAATAAGACTCTAGAATATCTGTATTTCGCAAGTGGATAACCTATGTCTGATGTGACACAAACTCGAAAACTTGTAGACGAAAACCAACAAACTGGCTGAAGAGGCTGGCAGCGAAGACAGGACTGCAAGTGAACATAGAGAAGATGGAGGTGATGAAGATAACCAACCAACAGCAACACCAACAACAACCAGCACCAATCACTATCAACGGCAGAAACTTGAAAGAGGTTACATCCTTCAATTGTCTGTCTAGGAAGCCCGGTTTCAACCACAGGCAGCCGAAATGGATGAAGATATCGAATTCAGTCAGAATTGGAAAGGCAAGATGTGCCTTCACCAACTTGAAACCAGCTTGGAAATCTTCCGCACTCAGCCAGCCAGCACAAAGAACAAGATCCGGATTTTCAACTCAAACATGAAGTCATTCAATCACTTCTTCTATAGGGGTCAGAAACTTGCACCACATTTCACGTAAAGGATTTTCAACAAGTTACTGACTTTTATCAACAGCTGCCCACTTGACTGACTCCATACTGAAGATTAAATGGCCAGCCGTCTGGCAAGAAAGGATCAGCAACAAGGAACTCTGGTTGGCAACAACCAACCAAGAACCGATTGCTCAACAGATATGTAGGAGAAAATGGAGATGGATTGATAGTAGTGAAGTAGTTTCCAAATCACGTCCCGATCAACGCTGCGCTATCGAAGGCCTTTTCAAAGTCAATGAAGCTGAGATAGAGAGTTGACTACCATTCCAAGTTCTGTTCAATGATAATACGTAGTGTTGCGACTTGATCGATGCATGACTTGTTTTGCCTGAATCCAGCGAAGTGTTCCGGACGAAGTTTTTCGTCCAGGACATGTTTGATTCTCTAAAGGATGATGAGGATTAGTATTTTGCTTGGGATAGACAAGAGCGTAATGCCAAGCCAATTTTTGCATTGACTTAAGTCTCCTTAAACATTTTCAACAATCTTATGCATATAAAAAGTGGGAAGTATTTACACAACACTAGGGGTGTATAAAGAGTCGCCAAAATGAGTTATAATATTAGCTATGAATAGATGAGTTGTACTGAAAACTACTCTAATTTACTTTAGCACAAACTCAAAGACCCACAGGCTAAATAACTACAGGTTGGTAGAAGACGGAGGTGACGAAGGTGATGACATAACTAACAACGACAGGTACCAATCATAATCAACGGATAAAAATCTACGGGAAGTCACTTCTTCCACTATTATCCAGTGGCAGGGATGAAATTGTTTAAGTCATTCATTCATGTTTCACAAGGCAAAGTAGACCTTCATTAATCTTAAATCATTGTGAAAACCTACTGCACTCAGCACAAAGAACAAGAGTAGGACCCTCAACATTGATGCCAAGTCAGTGCCTCTATATTTCTTTTATTATTATAGTTTGATTCCACACTGTATTTATGGTACAACTATGGAATTTTCAGCATGTGATATCGGTAGCCCAAATTTAGGAGACCGACCATTGATATCAGTTATGCGCCGAACCCTGGACTATGTGCATAGTGGGCGAGCGTCTTAGCCACTGTGCCACCGACGCACCATTGTTCGGAGACTTGGCGCATTACCAAAATTATTTCCAACAGCTGTCTTCGCTCGACACTGCAAATTGAATGGCCTGGTAGGGTGAGTAAAAAGAAACTTGCAACGAACCAACCAAGAACCTACTAGTGAATATGTATCCCGAAGAAAATGGAGACGGATCGGATAGTTGAGCGACATTACACACTTAGCCATCACTCCAGTGGAAGCCAAAACGGAAACGATAAGTTCGCTGTCCGGTGTAGATATGGAGATCGTGTGAGGAGGCAATAGAAACTTATGGGCAGTTGTGGAGTCAGTTAAACAAGACTGAAAAGAACAGGATGAAGTGGAGATGTGTTGCTGATGCTCTATGCTCCATTCGGAACCTAAGGGAACAATAATAGTACTGTTGACTAGGTATTTATTTAATCCTCAGGGCCTTTGTTGAACCATTATCATATGAGGAATGCGCAAATTAAGCTTAGTCCAACACACAACAAGCAAAGTATTAGTACCCAAAAACCTACAGAAGTCGGATTCAGTTGTTTGTTATTTCAGAAGTAAAAGAAGCTTCGTACACAGGTCAGAATTGAAGAACTGATACTAAGGTCGAATTCATGCTGAAGTAGCATGACGGATAACCATAGCTCAACAACATTGGGAGGGAAATACCCCCTAAAATGTTTTCTCTCTAACACTTCATTAATCCGTTGTACGAACTTGCTACACATTTGCCTCCCCCCCCCCCCCTCGGGATACACCTCTAATTCATTTCCCCGAATGGCTCAGCCACTTTACTTGGGTATTTAAGTTACTTTTTTTCAATATGATTGTTTCAAAGTGTTCTAAGCCAAACTTGACAATTCTGCACAAAATTCATTCGTCATTACTTTGCTCGAATCGTATTCAGTGATATGTAGGTGGAAACTGTGAACAGGTGTCGACAGGTACCCTGACCACTTTATTTCCATATGATCATAAACAACTGTCTACTGGAACCCAGTTGAGAAGTAAACGCCTTCCTCTAGGACTATTCCAAATCTACGGGAAATATCTAATGAATCCTCTGGATATATGTAGGGTGAATGATGCTGATTCTCTATATGATACAGATGGAATCACCTGTATTGCCAAACTTCCGTCCAGTATACATATATCCAAGGAGTGCAACAATCGAAGTGACAAGTTGTCGGCGAACCAAATCTGCTGTCCTATATCAACACTGAATGCTTCAAGGGGAAGTCAACAGGGTAGATATAGGAAAAACACTCTACTGCTTCACCGTTGTAGAATGCAAAGAATCTGAAAGGAATGTACATGACAGAATTATAATGAGAAAAGATAGTGAAGTCCAAGAAAGAGAACAAGTGCTGAGCAGCAAATGCTTTGCCTTGTGATGAAATCGAATGGGTCGTTAGTAATTCGTAGATCCTCACGTGAACTGATTTCTTTTCAGAGTTGCATACAGTCTATATGCGAATGTCAAAATTTATGCAGTTTGCTCTATACAGAAAATTTTTGTATCGTGGGATGCACAACTTGTAAAGTCAGCTCTATGTTTAAACCTTTTCTTTCTAGACTGCGAAGATATAGTACAGCTAACTTAAACGAATACAAAACATGTGAAACACTAACACCCATATGCGACTTCCAATGAACTGTCACAGAGGCATAACTTATTTTCCCTCATAATTAGTTTCATATCATACCTTAAAAAGCCAACTAGCTGTAAATGTAACTAAACAGGTGACTGTGTGTATATGTGTGTAAGATCAACGTTAAGTGCGAAAGCTAGCATAAATATTGATCAAATGACGTTTTATTTCTCAAAGTTTACAGAGAATTGTGTGTATTACAAAAACCACTAACGGAACTCCCAGTTCACATGAAGCAAAAAAAACAAATACTGCTAAGTGTAAGTAATTCTTCTAAATATATAAATAAATAAAAACATAATAAAAGCTAAAAAAATACTAACCTAGACGAAGCTCTCCAAAATTTCCGCAACCAATCTTTTTGCCAACTCGAAAATTTGGACCAACAAGTAGTGTATTTCCTTCCCGTGAAGAACGTGGTGCATCTTGCTGCATATTATTCTGTTTTCCTGAATGTTGACGTTCGTCCTTCTTTTGAGAAGGTGTACCAGACCCACGATGACCTCGATTACTTGTAGAGGTCTGGTTGGTTTGCTGGGCTAACATTCCACACAAATAGTCAGTGTGCAGATCGTATGCATTTGAATAACGGTAAGCCAATCATGTTTTTTAACAAACACCGAGTGAAAAACTGAAGAAAAAAGAAAGAAAAAAATGACAGTATGACCAATTAGCAAAATAAAAATGAAATGATGTTTACTTGCTGGGATAAGCATTGTTTATGACATTACTAGCACTGAAAACGCAATCGACTCTTGAAACTCAAGTGCCAGGTAGCGCTGCTAGCACTCAAATCATGGATACTTCATTAACCAATAGAGAAACCCATATCTAACAGCTCAACCACAGTGTATCTCCTATAAACCCTTTGCATTTCGCGTGGAACAAAAGGCTTCAGGTCCTTAGGTTTCAGTAGCCTTGTTGTTTTTAAGACGCAGCTTTGCTAGCTTCATAATCAAATTCCCCTCTTTCGGGGGCTTAATGCAGGCTAAGTGGGGCTCAGGGGTGAGTCGGCAGCGAATCGAATCCCGAGCACTCAACCACTGACGTACACAGTATGATGCATGTCCGAGTAAAAGAGTTGAAATACTTCAAATACTCTTTGAACCACATCAAAATCATCCACCTGAGCTACAAATCTTCTCTATCATAACTTCAAATACTCACCTAGGATTGCTCAGAAAAGTTGTACGGTAGAAATTCAAGGGTTGCAATAAGATGAAAGGTCAATCTGTCTGTCTGTCTCTGTCTGGATTCAACATAGAACTTGGCACCCAAGTGCACCAGTTCGAGTTGCCACGTTCCAATTGGCACACAAGGTAGACAAGAAGATGAGTGAAGAGAATCAATAGAGTTTGACAAATATAAGAGTGAAACAGAATGGGTAATTGTAGAAAGGAATATGAAAGATTACAGAGACTGAATACATCTGCGCCATTGACAACGATTTTCAGCCATGTCACCTACTGTCTCCAGCCATTGATTCCTAGACTCCCGAGGGCCCCAACCCGGGAGTCTGCATCTCCCTACCTGACTCAGTTTAACTGTCAAGGATTTCATGGATTGATGAGGCCATGTTTTTGTTTGGCCACCACTGGCTCTTTTCCAACCTGCACCTATCTCAGCTAGTAATGCCCGTCGGGGGAGGCGATGGTTAGGCATGCGCACCACGTGACCTAGCCATCTTAGTCTATGTAACTTTATAGCCTCGTCGATTGATTTTCCCTCTTTGCCCAACACTCTACGCCTAACGTCAACATTACTTATCTTGTGAAACCACCTAACGTGAGACAGGGATCGCAGACATCTATGATCGAAAGCAGTTAACCTTTTCATGTCTTCAACGCGTATTGGCCATGTTTCAGAGCCATAGAGAAGGACGGAGCGAACTGATGAGCAGTACACACGTCCCTTGGTTGATAACCGGATGTCACGCCTACGCCAGAGATGGTGTAAGTCAGCGAAAGCAGCTCGAGCTTTTCGGATCCGTGCTGAGATTTCATCGCCAATCAGTCCGTTGGTGCTAATACAACTTCCCAAGTAGGTGAAGTGGTCAACATGTTCTATCACTTCACTCCCTATCACTAAGTTAGGGATTGACGGGGTCCAGTCCTGTAGCAGCATCTTACATTTTGCAGGGGCGAATCGCATGCCAAACATACGAAGATTGCTGCTCAAGGTGTTCAGAAGACTCTGCATTTTGTCAGCATCCTCCCCTAACAGGACTATGTCATCTGCATATTCTAAGTCCATTAGATTATTCCCTGGTAACAAGTCGATTCCTAAGTCACTACGTTCAGTTAAAGATACTTCCATCAGCATATCTATGATGAAGTTAAACAGAAATGGGGAAAGTGGACATCCCTGTCGGACACCACTGGTTGTTACCAATTCAGATGACAATTCCCCATAAGCCCTTACACGACTACGTGAGTTTGAATAGAGTGCCTTGATTAGTGCAATGTACTTTCTTGGCACTCCCTTCACAGTCAGACATTGCCATAGTACCTTTCGATCCACGGAGTCGAAGGCCGAAGGTCAATCTAATCAAATATTAAGTATTTATGATCTACAATCCGCCGCCTAGATATATAAGGTCGTAGAAATAAAAATACTGAAGAAACTAAGTTACACCATTTGTAATTCATAGTGACTGTAGACATATTAACAAAAATCTATTGATTTGTAACAGCCAGTCAACATACATCAAAGTGGAAGTTACCAAAAGGAGTGACAAGAGATGAGAATAACCATGTCAAAACAAATGTCAAATGTCAAACAACAAATGTACGGGAGATGACATCACTATTTCGCGGAAGGTATACTATAAAGGTATGTGCACCACCACAACCGATTCTGAGCTTCAATCCCCCGCCCCACCTTCTCATCATCGGCTGGGATTATTTTGTGCAATGTGAGTACACCATTGAGATTTCCCTACTTCGCTTAACAATTCTTAGACTTTATCGGTTTCACCCCCACTTTGTCTTATACTATGAGTGCTCAATTTGAACTCGATTACCCGGAACAGACTTTTTAGATTATAAAAGATACGGGGTATCCAGTTGCCCAGGATGAAAGTGCAGTGAGACTATAACTCATGACCTGTCAGCTGGAAACCCAGCTCTTAGGCCAATGAGTTATATCAGCTGGAATGGATAGTAGCTTGATATGTGCAACACAGAGTAACCAACCCAGTCAACGAATAAAGGAGACCCTATTAGGTTATTCACATTTTCCAACCCACGATTGTAAACTACATGGTGGTTTCACTGCATGCGGACTTTCAGATCTCCTGTAATCTGTATGTTTCAAAGTCACATGGTGAAACAAATCGAAATAGTAAGCAGTACACTGTTCCCAACAAAGAAACCACTCATACGACAAACATCACAAGTTGGTGCTAAGTGAACCCTTTAGATTCACGTTAAACTTTTGTCAGTCACTAATTCACACTACCCATTATCACATGAGGCACTGTTGTGGACTAATCCTAACGTGACAGTCCGCATCAGAAAATAAAAAACCAAACTTGAAAGCGTACAAATATAAAGAGGTGCAATTTGAAGACAACTAGTCGTAAAATTCAAATCGACACCTCATGATTTCTACAGCCAAAAAATAAATAAATCGGTATCGGTCCAACAATGAACTGAAATATCAATGTACAACTTAGCACAAAAGTGGATCACTTCAAGTTGGTACAATACCTGAAGGCATATATATATATATACAGCAAAACGAAATTATGCGACAGAGAAATAGATGAAAACTACACAGTAAGCTCAGAGATCATACAGAGTGAATACATCTGTGCCATTGCAAACAATTCAGAGCCACGATACCTTAAGAAAGATGCAAAGACACTAATTGTGACACATCTCAAGGATGATTACTACCAGCGGTGACTGGCTAACAGAGTTTGAAAGCAATTAAAAAGTCAGAAATAAGAGGCGTAATTCAAAATGACCTAATCAACAGGTGATGACCCCTATCCTAACGCATATTAGGCAATAGAAATGCTTAAGATCACCTGCATAATCCAGGTTCGTATCTACTCAGTAACAAACTATGCCTTTTTTGCTTGTAACGCCATCCAGTTCCCCAAGTCAAGGTAGATTAAGTGGAGTTTGCATCCTGATTAGAAGGCAAGCGCTTAAGTTAATTTACATTTAAATCATATTAAAATCAGTAATAAGAAAACACAGGGAACACCTATTATACGATTCATATTTCTTATAGTAACATTAGTTCTAAAAAAAATACACAATGTATTACACACGCTAGATATTTCCGATTTCACTGATGATTTTCAAGTGTAAATTTAGTTCACCAGATATTTCATTTCCTGAAATGAAATATAAACACTAACCTAGTAAAGCCTCACTAATAAACACCAGGTTATCCTTAGACTTAAGTGAGAATGAAGCAGAAGGCGTGTTTCTTATTACACTAGTATTTCTATGCAGGGAATCACACTGATGGTTGGAGGTAATCGGCTGAAAGCCTCACCTGGTCTAGGTTTCGTACTAGTTGCTAGTCGTCAATCAGCAAGGCGTATCTGCAACCTTGAAGGAACTCATGTCCCTCCTGAGATTCAAACCCTCTTCACCCAGTGCTGCAGTCAGAGACGTTACCAATGAGCCCGAATATATATGTTAATGAAGCGATAAGCTTATAGTAAACACGAAATATGTAATGCATTGGATTTTTCAGTAATATAGAGATGAAAATTACTGGCTTAAGCACTAAATACGTGGCTAAAAAGACACCTGTGTCCATGGTGTCAACGCGTTGATTAAACATCTCATTTCAAATTTCTTACCACTTAAAAAGATTTACTGCATTGTTGGTTGGTGCAATGCTTCCATGCATTAAATAAATGATGTTCACCGCTCAGAAATAGCAGCAACACTGTGTGCAACGCACTAAGACAACAGTTTGGTCTTAACTAAATCTGTCCACATTACTTCTCATCAATGCTGAGAAACAAAATGAAAAGTACATACGTGATAGAGTCCCAATGACCATTCCACATTTGACCACTTGAATAATCTATGGCGCTAGGGAGATTTTTGGTGATATGTCGAAAGAAGAATATGCTAAGCAGCATTATACCGACTGAATAGGTTGACAAGTAGATGCTTGGAGCTTTTATAGATTAAGGCAGCTGAGAGATGCTGAGTAGAGCAACCGATTGCTTTTCACTATATGGGATATCAGACAAGATGGAGCTTTTTGAAAGTGGTCAGAGAAGAACGTGAAACTAACCCAACCTTATTCCATTTGGGAGATATCATGAGTTTTTTACTATCGCACGTACACCAACCAGGAAAGCTATCTACTTAAGTGATAGAAATCGTAAACCAATAACCTCAAGTAAGAAAGATAAATAGTATGCTGACGGATGTCCGTCTCCATTAGTCGCTCTAATGATAAATACCAAATGACTTTCAAGGAAAAGCACCAACACCGAAACAATGCATATGAAGCTTGAAGTGAAAATGCAACCACTCAGGCCTACCTTTCAATTTTAACCACACTATAATCTTAATGTTGATAGTAAAAAGATTTCAAGAGCTAATGGCTGCCCATCGCAGAGAAACTAACCCAAATCTTAATCCACGGTGTAAACTGCTGACCATATAGTGCTACCTATGTTAGTGTTATACAGACTTAAAGGCTGTTTTTAATCTTACTCATTACTGCATTTTCAACAGGGGAGCTGATATTTACAAACTTACTATATGCTCCCAAATTATAATCGCCGATCATACAGTAAAAAACCTCAAATTCCAACTATTAATAGTACTGCTAATCAAACAATTCAAGCTTGCTATATTTTGCCATGGAACTATTCAATATAATGATGGCGAACCAGCCCAAACCAAGTATACTTGGTAGGGGACAACTATAGTTGTCCCCTACTCACCATTAGATTAGGAATGATTACATGTGGCCTGTCAAAAACGTAACACTTGCCTCAGTTGCACGTCTGGAAGTACCACGAGAATAACTAAGAGATTCCTGATACTCTATGTGAAAACTATGATACACTAGTTATCAATAAAACACGAAACCAAATTCTATCGAGAAGTGAAAAACCAACCTACCCGCCCTATCGTAAATAGCTCGAAAGCCTTTCTCAATTCAACAATGAAGGACTGTAAATTAATGTTCAGATGCAGAATCCAAAAGTTTACGACAAATATAATTTGAAGACAACACAAGAAGATTTTGATTTCACAAATAAACAGAAACTTGCCTTTTACAATGGTAGGCAAATCGAGTGAATTTTACACGCCCTTGTTTAATTTCGTCTTTTCTCTGTAGGTCAAGTCTGTAAATTAACTTTAAATCAGCTTATTCTGCTCCAAGTTATTTTTTTATCTTTGATTCTATTTAGCTATGAGAAGTGTTTTCCTATAATTGTGTAGTAACATATCCATTTTTGTACACTCATTGGTGTTTTGCCACCCATTTATATAAAAATTGTTCCTGAAGTCAGATTTCAATCTCACAGTCCCAATTCACTCTAAAAAGTATGCCTGTCAAAAGGAACCCCTTAGGAAGAGTTATGTATCAATTCCCAAGGTATGCAGTGTGATAGCTGCAAGAGATGGTTTCGTAGCATGTGCACAAACCGGACTTCTGCAGCACAGAGGAGCTGCCGCAAACCCCTGGCGAACTGGCTGTGCAATAACTGCTGCAGTGCAACTAAGTTCCGCATTACCGAGGCCATTAGCACGCTGGTTAGGGCACTAAAGCTCTTGGCCTGCAAGGGTCCTCCACCACAGGAGAAGAACGACTATCTCTCAGACACCGACGATATCGCTAACGTCATCGACAAGATGATACATGTTCCTGGCGCGTCTTTGCCGGAAAGTGAGTGGCCTTCAGGACAGAAGAGTACCCACCATAGTCCGAACATCTACGCTTCTCCTGTGATATGCGATTATCCCTTCAGAACCAGTAATGAAAAGGGTAGCACAAGGAAGAGGCCGACCAGGGATCGAAAACCCGAAGCTAAAGCTGTCCAGGTGCTTGTAGATCAATCCTCATCCACAGAAATGGATAGCAGGCAGATACAAGAGACAACAGATAGCAAGGAAAGCGGCAGAGAATGGTGTAATGCAGTCAGCCGCAAAGAGGGCGACAAAGATACCACAAAGGCCACACTGTCCACGAATGACAGAGGGACACATACACCGCAAAGCAATGCAGCCACTGCAAGCAAACCTGATCTCTCCGACAAGTCGCACATTTTCCATAAAGTGGAGGAATCAACGGCTTCCCATAACAAGGTCAGCTTCTTAACATGACCTTGTCTCGGTCAAGCCCCTTTAGACAAGCCGCTGGCTACAACAACATAAAATGCACAATACATAGCTCGTATAGAAGTGGTCAAATGGTTGACTATCCGGTAATTCAGCTAGTATGCCCTCTCAAAGTAGTACTAAACTCGAGAGTAGAGACGCATGCTATAATAAGCAACTTCTATGCTCTTAAAGGATCAGGTTGACTTGTGCCTAGCAGACCGCGTCCAAAGACACTCTGTGTCTGCAGAATTAAGCGAACGGTGCCGAAGCAGCGAGAAAAACCTAAAGATTAAGAATCTTCGGGTCGTCGAAGTTCGAAGTTTGATGATCCCGAAACCTCTGCAGGTAGGCCAAGGAAGCACCAAACCGATTTAACAGTCTGCTTCACAAATGCTCGCAGCCTGTTGAGCAAGCAGAATGAGCTGGGTAATACAATAGACTCTGGAAATCCGGTTGTAATTATCGTCACAGAGACATGGCTCAAATACCACGTCACTGATAACGAAGTTAACATGCCAATTTTCGTAGTACATACGGTGAACCAACTAGGCCACAAAAGAGGTAGCTTAGTCATCTACTCCAAGAAATGCTTAACCGTGAGCAACATTGAAGCTCTTCACGCTAAAGCGAATCGTGCGAACTTCTACGCTGCAGGCATAAATCCACAGGCTAAGATAATGATCTCATTGCTATATTCCACAGTCCTGACTACAATGCAGAAGTCTTCCCAACAGAGAAGCTGGGCTCCTGGACATCGACATGTTGAATGCTCGTAGTCGGCGACCTCAACGATAGACAGGCCCTACAATTCCATCTACAGACGACTCCTTTGATCATAGACTCATAGAATCTAGCATTTCGCCAGCACTGGCCCAACATGTACATAAGATCACGCGGTATGACTCACAGAACTTCTTTTCAACCCTAGCTCTAGTGTTCTCTCATGATGAGGATGTGGACTTCCTTTAAGAAGAATTGATCACCCTGTGCTCACTTTCAAGTTCACAGCAGCAGTATCTAGGGCAAAAATACAAACTTTTAGAAAGCTGATATAAATGCGGTACCTTAGCAGCCAACTCGGTGAACTGGTACATAAGCCCAGTGTTCCAAGTAGGAGCCACATGAGACCAGTTTAAACAGCTTCAGGCCCGAGTAACTGAGCCTTTCATCCCTTGGTCTGCCCCTAAGGGTCGGAGATACTTCCCCTTGGATAAATCGAGAGATTCATAAATTACCCAAACGTAAACAGAAATGCTGGAACCTGCTTACCACACTTGAGACCCCTGGCACCAGAAATCTATACAACATCGCTAGGATCAAAGCTATTGCAGAAATCCGCTAATCATTGGTGAAGTTCGAAACAAATCTGGCTGAAAATGCAACGGCACAACCTAAAAAAGTTTTCTCGCATATGATCTTAGTTAATCAGACATGCGAGGTACCCCAAACCTGACCACTGACAATGACAATCAAAGCGGATCGAGAGGAAGCAATGGCAGACTACTTCTCCCAAGTCATTGGACAGGGGTCGTCACTCCCCGCAGGATTAACTCTGGCTTAATCAGACGATAGACTGCAATGACGCCAACCAAGACATCATGCACAACTGTCTAAAGAAACAATGTACATGGAGATCAAGGGTTCCTGATAACCTTCATCCAAGGGTTCTCAAGGAACTACCAGTTCATTTAGCCGGCCTACTGAAACTGATCTCAGAGGTATCTCTCCTAAATGGAGTGTCAGCACGTGACTGGAAACACACAGCGACAACCCCAATCGACTGAGGAGTATCAGCGTAAAATCATTCAAAATACAGGCCTGTCAATGTACTTGAAGATTGAGCTACCAATTCATGGTTGTTTGCTCAAACCCAACTCTTGCATATTTTTACGGCGTCAACCATCCATCAGTTATCCTCTCATCGTTCGCTGTTCAAAGGAAGATGAAAAACCATCAGGAGTAATATCGTGATTTATTGCAATAACATTTATTCTCAGACCTTGTGTAATAACCTTATTGTTGGTTACATGTTGGCGTAAGAATAAAGGATCCTCGAGTCGCCAATCAGTGTTCTGGTTTTCGCACTGGTTAATACAAAGTGTTTCTGAAAGTCTTCCAGGGAGAGCGTGAGGTCCAGCGTAGTAGGAGCAGTACATTGACAGTTTATGAGACTTGGCTGACAGTTTCTGATAGTTTCTGTTCGTCTTTCCTGGTGCATGCAAGTCTTCCTTGGACATGTATTATCTGGAACTTTTCTGGAATTTTTTGTTAAGTTCAATGGTGCCTGGGTCAGAAAAGGAACAGAGCTCCTTGGATGCAAGCAGGAAAGTAAGTAATGCTGAGTTGCTTGTTATTTGTAATGATATGTAGTATTACGAGTTTGTTGTTCATGTTTCGCAGTCTAGGGACAATAGGTGTCAGCCACGTCTCGTAAACCGTTAATGCCCAGCTCTTGCTGCACTGAGGCTCACGCTGTTCCTTGAAGTTTCTCAGAAACGCTTAGTAATAACGGACGAAAAAACCAAAAGACCAATTGGCGACTCGAGGATTCTTTATTGTAACACCAACATATAAACACTGTTACAACTAAGGTCTGTGAACAAATATTACAATAATAAATCACAATATTACTTCTGACGGTTTTCTGCCGACTTCTTTCTGAACAGCGACCGATGAGACGATGACTGTCGTATTGATGCATCCACGAAAATTGGGGAAGTTGGTTTTGAGCAAACAACCATGAATTGATCGTTCAATCTTCAACTACATTGACAATAGGCCCAAATCTGAACCTCGGTGTTTGGAGGGACACCTAGCTGACTATTTACAGTTTGTAAAGGAGTTTGAGATCATTTTGAGTATTTTTTTATTAAATGAAGAAATTAATTTGATATATTTGATGAGTTACAGCACTGGAGTAGCTTCAAGTGCTATACAGTGCTGTAAGTTCATGCCCCCTAACGAAGGATACTCTGGGTCTATGAGCATACTGCGTCAGAGATTCGTAAGACCTCCGATGATTGTGAGGAAATTACTTGAGGCTGTTAAGGGTAATGGTAGTCAATCACAAGATAACTACAAGACACTCTTTGAGTTTTTGGATAATCTGTTGACTTACAAGAATACATTGATTTCGATGAATTGCATGAGTGATCCGAACTCAAGTTCCGCCCTAGATGTAATAGGGAGAGGCTTAACTACTCGACTGCAAAGGAAATGGGTGAAGACAAGCTCTAGCAGAGGGGATGAAGGCATTAAGCCGAAGTTCCATGATATTCTAAAACTGGTAAAAGATAGTGTCACCCAAGCTATGAGCAAGTTTGCCAGTATATATTTCATCCCATCACTCGAAGAGAGAAATAAGAGGGCAAAACGCAATCATTTATGACGAAAGCGTCTCAGAGAAGTGCATATCAAGAAAACTCTATGGTGTCTAGTAATCCATATAAACCTAATGAGTGTGACGGCTTTCGTCGGACGTCCCCAACAGATAGGTTACAAGCTGGAAAACAAACATGGTCGTGTTTCATCCGTTTGCAAGAAGTGCACACAAAGGCGAACTATGAAGCAGTGAGCAAGTTTAGTAATAAGCTAATTGTGAAATCGGCGTCATCAAGGTCTGGGTCCGGATGGTGTGACGATAATGGTGCAGTGAAGAAGCCTATGGTCGCAACTGGTAAGCCATGGTTGAACAGAGTGTCACAGACGACACCGCAGTTTGTGCAAAAGAAGATAGTCACAGTTTCAGAGTCCGGTTCTGACTCAACAAGTTTTCAAAGCATTACTAGTCAGAGTGATGGTGTCAGCCAACCCTC